GATTCAAGTGAGCTTTTTCCTTGAATGTCACGTGACACACGTCGCATTCGAAAGGCCTTTCTTCCATATGCATCATCTGCTCGTTGACATTCGCTCGCTTCATGAATGCCTGCTGCAACGCATCGCAGTCGTACGGTTTGTCCAATACGTGCAATTGCATGTGACTTCTCAAGCTCCACTTATAAGCGAATCTTTTTTGACAGATGCTGCACTCTAATGGGCTCATTCCAACGTGAGTTAACATGTGAGCATGCAGGCTAGAATTATCAGGAAAATTTTGTTGGCAAACCTCGCACTGACTTCCGCTACAATGCATTCTCAGATGTGTCACCATAGAATCGTTGTTCAGAAACCACTTTTTGCATATTGAGCATTGTATTTTATAAAACTTGGGTTGCTGCCCGTTTTGACAGTAATGTTTGTCGGGTTCTTGTGTTTGTATAAAATTTGTATTAGCCAAACATCGTTGCATTACACCATCCTCCTTATCGCATAAATTAGTATTTGCTATTTGTGTTGTCCAGTTCTGATGACTGGTGGACTCTCCTTCCAACTCTAGCTTTACCTGCAAAAGTTTATAAAGCTTTTAGAAGAGATATAATATAAAGTAATATATACACTGCTGTTAAGGATGATTAATGATTACAGCTGTTGTATATTTACCATCTCGTTGGAGAAATCCACTTCATTGTTTTCGATAGGCAAGAATAAAGTGCCTTTCTCAAAAGTACCAGAGCAAATATCCTCCATGTAGTCCGGATCAAATCTATCACCGGGTTCCTCCTTAAGCACGACGCTCACAATGTTCTCATCCTTAAAATAATCGTTACGTTAGACTCTGGACAGCACCGGCAGTACACCATATACCTGCTGCTGTTTCATACAAGAAGTTTACCATAACCTGATTGTCTATGGCTAATGCATCCATCGGTTCATCTTTCACCTTAAAACCTTCCATTTGCTACACTTCACTCTGAAAGTGAAATCAATTTATTCATTTACGTACATTTCATGATACATGATCAACAGTATCCAAAAAAAACAAATTCTGATAAAAAGACAAGGAAAAAGCGTTGTACACGATGGGTGCAGCCAGAAATTACATAAAAAAGTCCCCTCATAACCTTAAATGCGATAACAGGTTCGGAACGTGACCGAGCTTCGTGCCGATGAACGATGCACGAGGAAGCCGAGAGCCACCTTGTACGGTTACGAACCTGTTGCCGCGCAAGGAAAACCGATCGGACGAACGAATCGCCCATCAATACTTACAATATAGGTTACATGGCCCTTCCATGGATACAAAAATATAGGTTGCAACCGACGATTTCTTCAACCTGTTTGCCGTTGTTGGATATATCAAATGGACTCCGTCGACTTCGAGGGAGCGAGTAATTTTCTCTTAGATGCTTGGAATACAATTGCAAATCGATCACAACGCACAAAACGAGACGGATGTGTCGAACAAATCGAGGTACACTACAGTACACTACGCGTTGGCGTAGATACGGATAATATGTTGCACAAATGTGCGCGGGCGCGCGTAAGCATACATTTGCGAAGATGTCGCGTCATGAGATGCATGTATATGTCACACGCACGCACATACACACATGCACGTACAACGCATCGCAAGGTGAGACGTTGCACACGTTTTACGTGAGCGCGCATGATAATTGCACAAATCAGCTAAATACACTAATTTTAATCTTTAATTCGTAAACTCAGTCTTTTTTTTATATCTATACAGTCTGATACAGACTCATCTAAATGCGATACAAAATGTTTTTACTGAGAAAAAATTGAATTACAATCTCATACATTTCAGTTTTTTAAAACATCACTTGCAAGTGTAATATAAGAATAATAAAATATAACATTGTAAATTAATCAAATTAATCAGTTATCATGCTGGGAATTTTGCGCTTTTCTTTGCTCGTGCTCAATTTACGATATCTATTTAATTTAATTTCTCTCTAAATAATTATTTATAGTTTTTGTTCTACTTATGTTTTTGTTTTTCAAAAACTTTAAACAGCTAAAACAAAGAAAGTATATCAATAAAATATGTGCCATTAAATTGATAATATTTTTAACAATATAGTTTTAACAAAATATTTGTGAAATTATTAAAAAGTCAAAGTATAAACCAAGAATATATAAATATATATTCTTTATAATATATATATATATATATATTCTTTATAATATATATATTAAAGGGTGTAAAAATAAATGCGCACTTTTACATTTCTGCAACTAATGTATATCAATTGCATTTATCGTAGTATCAATAAATTACGCGTATTTGTTTGATATAGTAATTCTTTTACAAATAATTAAATTAATAATATTTCTTAAAACATTATTTGTTTAAACAGTACGTTGTAATATGTCTTACACAGAATTGTTATTACTATATAAAGTGAGCATGTGATGCTACGCGTCTCTTGATATCTATTAAATAGGCTTGTGTGGTCAATATTTACATTCAAATAAAAACATCATAAAACATCGTTTATTTTCTTTTATCAAACACTTGACGAGAGGCTCTTGTATCTTATTCAGTTGCCTGCGTCTATCGATACATCGATTAGTATCGTTACGAGACAACGAGAAACTAAGCATAGGATATTCAAAAAATATTGAAAAATATGTTGCATCATATACATATATTTATTTATATCCATAATAGTCGTATTGAAATTCAGTACAATTCCGTAACATCATAACAGGATTGTGCCATGTCAGCAATTTGGTCCAAACACTCTCATCACACATATACTTAAACGTGCATAAAAACCGGCTCTTTCGTAGCAAACAACGAAATATTCATGAGCGGTAAAAAATTGTTGCAAATTTAAAATCTCTGTTCAATGACAATCAATTAATACGAACATGGCGCTCGCAGACAACTGTATTCTTTGGCAAATACAACAACAATCGCCGTGATAACAATAAAATGTAACAACACAACACAGATGACTCTCGCGATATGCAAACGATAACATTCCTTTATTTCCTTTATTCCTTTATTTATAATCCGATTCAAAACAGAATTTTTTCCAAATCGTATCACTATTAAAACTCGGAACCTTGAAACCCATCTATACAATTTGCTATTAAATACCTATAAAAGTTCCCTCGATCGATCATTTTTAATAATTTAATGCCTTCATTTGGTGTATATATATATAACTGTAATTCTATAACTTATTCGAAATATTCAATTCCTACATCGTGAAGAAAGAATCTTGGGATCTACACTTAGGATTTCTGGATTCTGGACAAAATGCAACTTAATGCTAATGACATTACGAAGAGAAGAAGAAAATAATGAGTTTTAGAAGAAGTTACCTGTCTTTTCTAATAATTTTTATAAGATATCTGTACTAGTTGTCGAGTTAATCTCAGTACAATTTCTAATTAAATTTTAGAAAAGATAAAATCAATGATTACATCCTCAGAAACTAGAAGAGTTTCGAATTAAGCTATTTGCGCTATTTATGCTACTTTCCCAGAAATTCCAGGATTCCCTAAATCCCTAAATTCTCACCAATTTCTTCCTCGAAGTGTTAACATGCAAATCTCAACAGTTTCGACAAGATTCTTTCGAGAAGATCAAAGGATTCAATCAGCTCGTGAAGAATTCAATTCCAAAGTAGGATTTAAATTTTATTTTCACAGAAGAACTTGCCATCGAAGAGAAAAAAAAGGACGGGAGGATGTGTCTCAATTCGAATTGCAAACGATTTATCGTGATTCGTCAGTCTTGCTTGTTCCGGAACAATCGAGCTTAGCCTTCGACTTTCGTCCGAGCAATCTGCGGAAAGAGGAGGTCCATCTTGAACGAGAGAGCCCCTCTCTGCCGGCTGCCTCTTGATCGTCGACTTCGTTGCCGTCCAACGACTCGCTGATGGTTCTGCTCTTGCCGCTGCTGCTGCCAATACTGCTGTCAAAACATCGTGATCTACGATCCCCTATCTCAGACGAAAACCTAAATGAAGAACATGCGATGAGAGAAAAAAAAAAATAATAACGATGCGGCCGAGCTACTGTGGCGATAAAATTGCTACTGAGTGAAACGAACCCTGAATCCGAGGAGAAGGCTCTGGCTGCGTGTGGAACACTTGAGGTGGCCGAAGAGAGGGATGGTTCGGCTATCGGAGTGCTCGGATATGCATCGTCGTCGTAAGCGCTGTTGCTGCTGCTGCTGGTGCTGCTGCTGCAGCTGCGACTGTTGGTGCTGCCGTTGCTGCTGCTGTCGACGCTGGAGTCATCGATATAGCAGATTTCGCGGTCGACTATGGATGACTCGATGCGCGGAACTCGAGACGGGCCAGCTGACGGTGTCGCACCGGGTCGCAACCAGCTGCGGAAATCTTGTAAAGGCGCTTGAAGGCACTGCAGGAGATTCCCGCTGCAAGAGGCAAGACGTTCCGACGTTTAAAATCTTACTGAGCTTCGCGAAGTGAAATTTTCGCAGCTTCCGACCGAGGATCTTAGACCATTTTTTTTTTATCTAACTCACCTGTCGTGATAATTGTCGACATTGGCGAAAGTGCGTCTGGCATACGTGCAGATGGAACATCGACGACGATTCCGACAGGACGTTGCGTGAAACGTCGCGGCAGTTAAGTGGCGTGTCGCGTGTTTCAGCGCGATAGTCTCCCTTGTGAGCGCCGCGACGCCTTCCTCCCGACGGCGTCGCTCGGCTCCTAGCTCATCCTGCTCTAACCTGAGTCTTCGCCGTAATATTTCGTTCTGAAAGAAGCGCGTGACGATTCAAGTTTAATGATTACATCGGTGAAAAATTAAAAAAAATTTCTAGGATAAAAAATGACGGAACGCGCGTATTCGAGTTTAATTAATTACTTCTCTCTCCAGGGTGTCTCTTTCGGCGCGAATGACGGTGGCTTGTCGAATGACATCCTGACGCGCTTTTTCGAGGTCGCGTCTGGTAATCTCGTTCTGTTCCAGCTGCATCTGCAGACGACGGAAAGCCGATTCGCGTTGTCGCTCCAATTGATTCTGCGCCTCCATGCAGCTGTCTCTTTCGGCCTTAGCCCGTTCAATCTCCTCTTCTAATCGCAGGCTCCTTTCCAGCTGTAAGAAGAGCTCGTCTTCCTTACCACGGAGCTCCGTCTCACAACCCTCCAGCCGTCTCTCCAGATTCCTGCGAGCCTCCTCCAATTTGTCCCGTTCGGCCTTCGGAAAAAAAATATGAAATTCTATTTCCATATATGAGTAAGTAAGTTTCTAATAATATATACATCCCAAAATTCGAAGATATTGTTTTAATAAATTTCTCTAAGCAGTCGATTTTTCCGCGGCAAAAATGTGAAGGGAGATCATTATTCATTGCACAATTTCGCAATTTTCCATCTTATATATTTTTCACTGAACTTTAACTTGAAGCTTTATAAAAGTAAAGCTCACTTGAAATTAATTGAAAAAGGATATAATTCTGTTATTTATTTGTCTCCTTGAAGTTTAGTTTTGAGCCTGAAACGCTCTTCTTTCTCAATCGTTTGCAACTTAAAAATGATCAGCGCCTCGGTCAGAAAAAAATCAACTGCAAATTGATTAGAGATACCAAATAAATCATTAAAATAACATTCGCTAGTTTTACAGGCGTATACAAGTACAAGAACATACTATTTTTATTTCTTCTTTTTTAATTTTTCCAGTTTTATTAATTTTCCAGTTTTATTAATTTGAATTGCATTATGGAATCTGTCATCTGTCGTGAAAAGGACATCCGTAAATTTTGAAACAACTTTATGAACAGATATCTTAATGTTAGTTAAAACGTTGATGCTTAAGAAATATCCTCGAAAGTAAGATCTTAATAATACACGTACTTTCTTAAGCCAATACAGAAATCACTTTCTTAGTTTTTTTCAAGTAGCGTTCAGTTCCGAGTGACGAATTCACTCGAGAATTGGAGAATCTCGCGTTTCGCATTTATAGCATCGACAATTGCATGAACGGTACTCCAGTTCAGTGCTCGTCGGTGAATGGCATCCTCGCTTAGTATGCACACATGTGCATATGAATAAAATATCTAAGTGAGCGATGATATAGTTAATTTCGACGAAATTTCATCCTGTCGATTTTCGTCCTGTAAAAAAGCCCGCCCTGAAATTTCCGCGCTACTTCCGATGATCCTGTTCAGTGACTTCGCATAATCGGCATCGATGCGCGTTGACAATCACCGACAATCGCCGCGATTGCATGACACCGACGGATGACGCACACTGTGCAATGCTTTTAGTTCTGTCTGGCGGCGGCTGTTCGGCCGCGTTGTAGGTCAACCAGGTAGGCAAGCGAGACTGAGGAGGTTGATGAACGCGCATCGAGAAATACTAGGTTCTTTTAAAAACTTTCTTGCGACGATGAAAAACGGGAAGAGACGGTAAGCCGGAAACGTCGGGGAAAATACAGCCGGGTTTTTAATGGAGAAACAATTCTACAGTGCAAGCATGAATTCAAGAAGTAATCATTGCAATAAAACAGCCGAGCATCAAAGTCAAGTCATCGAATAAAAAGTAGAATATGAGTGGCATTGAGAGTGCCAGAGTTTTTAGGATCAGAAATGTTTGCCTCAAAAAATATAAAATAAAATATCGAGGTTTGAAAAAAAACTTTCACGAAAAATCATTAGCATTAAGGATTCATGAAAAGAATCATAAAAATGATTTTAAAATTATTTTCATCCTCGTTAAAACTTTTAATTTGTAAAGGCTTTACTTATTCTATTTTATTGTTTATTTTGTACAGAAAAATTGGCTTCTTTATAAGAGCAATATACACTATAAAAATTATTTTTAAAAGCGCAATCTCAATCGGGAATTCCAAATTTCTTAAGTTAGGAATATTTTCTTCTGATTAATGTGTAGCCTTCCATACGTGACGACTTGCACTTAACTTAACTACATAATATTTCGCGCAGCCTGGAACATCGAAAACAGGATGTTGCGAAGAAACGTGCGAAGTCGATATCGGAGATCGTGTTTCAATCCTTTTTTTGTCACATCTCGTTCAAGCCTATCGAGAAATCTTATCCGCGAAATGAGGTGGGAAGCGCTGATCTCTCAAACGGAGTCCCGTAACACGAAGAAGAAGAAGAAGAAGCAGCAGAAGAAGAAGAAGAAGAAGAAGAAGCGGAAATCAAATGGGAAGATGTACCGCGCGGCAGGAAAGTGGAATAAAAGAGAGGCTGACTGCCATTTTCGTTCGCGATCTCTCTTTAGGTCAGATGCGTTATACCGTTGCTTTTATCGCGTCATCACGATGTTATCTCAAACTGCGAACAGCGGCGACAAAAAAAGAGAAACGAGATACATCGCGACATCATTTTCGTTAATAAAATGTTAATTATCTTTTTACGCGTTTGAAAAGTATTTTAGTCTATCGAAGTTGCTAAATTTGTCTTATTGTTTGCTAAAGTTGCTAAACTTGCTATCGCGAGTTGCTAAAATTAGGATGTCTCTTCAATATAAAAAAAAAAAGAGGGAAGAAGAGCCAACGTCCTCGATAGCTCGCGTATCCGTCACTCCAGTTCCAGACGTGAAAAATCTAGACGACAAGTAGGCGGCGAACACATATAAAATATGCGGCGAGACAGAGGACGGACCCGAAGACAGGATATGCATACCGCAGGAAAAGTAGAGTAACGAGAATAGCATCCTGCCGCGCGTGTTTTTTTTTTTTCTTCCTGGTTACGGCTTGCGAACACTTCGGAATATTGCTCGCATACTGATGATTTAAAGCACGGCAATTTTCAACACGATTCACATTCGCGTGGCGAAAGAATGATTCATAAGAAGTAAAGTCAGAAAAGTACTTGTAAAAATTGGCTCGTATTATGATTGGAACAATATAATAATTGGAAGGAAAATTATGAAATCCTGATTAAATCGTAATTATCGTATCCCCGATAAGTTATCGCGAAGAAAATTAATACGACGTAGTTAACGGAGTGCTATCTTCAAAGGGCTAAGAAAGTCACGTCTCGACGAAGCAGACTTACAAGTCAGCGATTATCGAGCGACAAGGCCAAGGCAAGAACCGCGTCAGAAGAGAAACAAAGACGTGACCTCTCGGACTCACACCAAGAATATCTTGTCTTTCTAAAAAAGTAATTGCCACGGCATTCCATCGCGAGCTCTCCACGTGCAAACACTGACAAATATATAAAGAATTTCAGAAAAATCTTAATCGAGAGCCACTGGATTATCCGCTTAATCGGTTTCATCTTCAAAGCAGAAAAAGTAAATCCAACAGATTTTTTTTCAATCGACACCAAGTATTTCTACAATCAAAAATTGATGACAATCGATAGAGTATGCCAAAAAGTAAATGTACACAATGGAGAACATTAAGAATCATAAGATTATTCGGTCACAATCGATTTTTATAAATAAAGCTCGCAAAGATTTGTAAATTTACAAAAGAAGATGAAACTTCCTAGACAATTTGCAACCGAACTCAACAAGCGTGCCGAGATATATGCGCAGAAATTTCACAAGTGGCATGTCGAAAATTATTTCGTGGCGAGAGACAGTCTTCGTGATCTTCGTGAAACTGGCGAACAGGTTTACGACGTCGTTCATGCCGCGCAATTATTTGCGCGATCGATTCTACCGAGGAAAAACGGACGCGAGCCGAGAAAAACTTCTCCACCGAACCCTCCACTTTTCCCAATTAAAATTCCTGCCGATCGGTCAGAGATTTCGCAAGTGTACCGCGCAGAATATTAGAAATAATAGTTCGAGTATATCGAGTTTAAATTCCGTAAACGATTGCTAGATACATTCGTGGAGATAAATTCGCGGGAGATCGAGAGACAAGTCGTAAAGCTGATAAAAATAAAAATTAGTTTACTGAAGAATACGTTCGATAAGATAATAAATAAAATAAACTGTATTCGCCGAGAGTTTCTCTGCTTTTCCGATTCCCCTCTTCGCGAATGTTCTCTCGGTTTCACGAAACGGCTCGCGGGCAATGCAGGAAAGGACTCGATTTCACTGCGCCAGACTGACTTACAATCAGCCGGCCGAGATAACATCGTCGAGTGCCGCGTCTAACGAGATCGCGGAAGGACTAACAGATGCATCTTGATAATTATTGCCATGATACGAGTCTGCATTTCTGTCTATATAGGACGGCGATTGGTCTTCCGCGTTAGATCAATTCGAGGAACAAAGAACGGAGCGTATCTCGTTTGGCTTCATCGGATGGAGCAATATTGTTTTACGTTTCTCTTTTTCATGAACGGAGGAAAATGGAAAGTGCGGCTTTGCAAGATTGCCTTATAAACTTTTACCGAGAGATTAAAAGCAAGCTTAGGCAATAAGATTTCGCGCGCATGAGAGATATTGCGTTGTGAAAGAATTCCGCCAGATTAATCGCAGATGTCTTTGTTGAGTGACATTAATTAATGGCATCTACCGTGCAAAATTTCGCGGTGCGTTGTAACAGAGTTCAGTTGATTAAGAATAGAAGGAGTTAAGCGAAAGAAACTCAGCGACAAATTGAAGAGATACTTGTAATTTCCGAGTCAATTATTTTGCAACAATAAATAAGATGATATCGCGACGGCCATTGCTTTTCATCGCGAGAAATGGCAACTTTCGTCGTCTTCTCACAAGAATAACAGAGCATAAAGGTGCCGGTTGTATAATTAAATGTAGAAGAAGTAAAATTGAAATGGAAGAAACTCATAATCTGTGCTACATGAAAGAACATCCACAAAGCTAAGAAGTGTGTTGAATTAATTTTTGCATTAAATATTTGTTTTTATTTCGACAACATTTTTTCTTCTAAATTAGTTCGCAACACAAGTAAAGAGATAAATAGAATTTGCAAAACTCGCCGAATTATTCCAACAACACCGACAAAATGTACCGTGAGAAAGGGTGTAACGTGCATTTTAACAATAGGCAAGCTATCGCGATTTAGTGTGGGAAAGCGCGATACAATTTTTTTTTCATCGTGTTGTAAAATGGCACAACGTACAAAGGCACGAGGGAGTGAATGCATTCTATTGTAATGCAATTGATGTTAATGCAATTGGAGAAATTAGAAAAGATTAGAATAGTATGTCTTTGTATTTATATACAAGGAATTTCAAAACTCGCGGATAAACTTTTTAGAAAACAGATACTCCGAACGGTGTTTGCAAATCGATTTTTCCTCTTCAAGTTATTAGCAATAAGAAAACTTTGCGAATTAAGCTTCAGAGAAACAAATAAACAACCATCAATTAATTTTAAGCGAAAAATTTTGATCTTTAATATTAGCCAGAGCATTTATCATCAAAAGGATCCTCGAGTTTTTGGTTGCTTCGTGTAATAAAAATTAATTAATAAATTTTAATTGTGTGGTGGAATTTGTGGTCGGAAAGTGTGAAGGCTTTTACATACCTTGATCTCATGATAACGCTCTTCCAGATAGTAAGCGATGCTCTTCGCCTCTTTGTACTTCTCCGCGAGATCCACGTACTTGTCGTAGTGCCGCTTAAACAGAACGTACCTGTAAAAAGACGAAAGTACAAACATAGAAAGAGAAAAGCGGCATGTCGGAGATTCTTATAGATAGAATGGAGAAATTTGTAAAAAGATCTACAAGATTTTCCCATCGAACATTATCTAACGTACGCGGATACGCGTCTGCCGTCGTAAATATCACCGCCGCTCATCGCAGCATCAGAAGACGGCCGTTCACGACGAATCCGTGACCTGTTCTCAGCCATTGTTCCTAGTGAAACCGAAGAAACGGAACCGGATGTGCGCGCGTACTTTATCTCGCCTCGGGCCTCCGGATTTTGCGTCTCGCGATCGGAATCGATTTCACCGCGCATTGATCGCGCGAGAGGCTTCTCGTTCGCTCGCCCGCTCGCTAAAGCCCTGCCTGGCGAACAACTTTCGCTTTCACGCGACCGGCCACATCAACATTCGGGTCGAGATTCGAACTGATTCACGTAGCGATCACCTTCCGCTTACGCGTCCGTTTCGAGAGGCGGCGAGTGAGTGGTCGGGACACCGGCGACGATCATCTCCGAAGCCTCGGCTTCCAATGTGCGAAAGTCACCTGGGCCCGGAAACATGAGATTCGTATCAAGGCTGATGCGTGAACGCAATTGATAGTCGATGACATAATCACTACAGGCTATTATGTTCCGTGTGCGTTTTTTTTTTCATTTTGACGCATGCGAAATAAGATATTGCACTTGCCAAAAATTGTAAAAGAAATTTTTGATCCAACATCTTATTAATGTGATAATTAATATTGTGATTTACGAATCATATTAATATAATTTATATATTTTTGTAAAAATATTTTTCGTAACAATAATACTGGAATAATAAAGTGGAAGTTTTTGGAAGAAAATAATAATAAGTTTGTCCATTATTTCGGTGAATTGCGTCAATTACGTAAAAAATTCATTTAACTTTCAGAAACAGGATTGCTTCATCGCAGACGTTTATTGATCAGTCTTTTTGTGAATGGCAAGGAATTAATAATCAGGATTAAATTAGAAATTTTCTCTGCAGAACGTTTACAATGGGAATAATCCCTTTCAAACGATAGTAATAATTATGAACTTCCTAGTGATTACGAAGGTGTGAATGGATGCGTTACGATGCGTGGATAAAAACATTAATACGGTGAAATGTGAAAGTAATTAGAAGGCGCGGCGAATAATTAGTATCACGCAACTAACAATAACTAAATTTAACAGAATGCCGAGATACTTTTATTCATTTAATACTGAAGTGTCGAATGAAATTCTGTTAATGTCTATACACAGGATGTGTGATCTAATTTCTTATTCAGTTATTTTATTTTATTATTAGTTTAATTGGTCTAATTATTAATCTAATTATTCTAACTATTTTATTATTAGTTTAATATTTCTGTTATATTATTAAATCATTCGTCTACTTACTCTATATTATTATTTAATTGCAAAGATGAAGGGTTGCGATTTTTGCTGAAGAAAAATTAATTGCAAAATTTCTTCGAGAATCCGACCATAAACTACGCAGCGATTAAATAAAAAATAATACGTGAAAAACGAGACATCCTGTATATATTTTTGGCGTGGCTGCACTTTGTTTCCAATAATAATAAAATATAGAGCTCGAAATTATTATTCGGTTTATCCCATTAAACGACTTGCGGAAGCCGCTCCCGAGCGTTTAGAAAAGAAACGATGCTCATTTCCGTTTCTCGATTGTGTAGGTGAATAAATAGTACATGATTTCTTGTGGGCATCAAGGACATTCTCCACCAAGGCTTCGAATTAGTCGTGAATAAATAATATTACAACAATCTTACATCATGTCTTAACTAAGCAGCATTAAAAAACGAAGCGTCAGTGACAAGCAACTTTTTTACACAAGTGCCTGCCAATCCTACAAATTCCAATGATCAACCGACTCGAAATCAATTAATCATTTTGAAGAACGATAGTTTCAACCGATAATCTCTCTAATGTTTTACGTGCCGACAAAGTACAAATGTTCCGCAATCGCGATATATTGCCTTATAATTTATTATTAATAAACCAATGTCATTAATAGCAAGCCTCGATCGATTATTCACTTAAAATTTTATTGGCCTTTACACTGCAGAAGATTTTCCGATCGAAAACGTCATAAATCTATAATTTATAAATCCCGTTTTAGAAACAATATTTAAAACGGTTTTATAAATAATAAAAGTCATTCTAAAACCTGATTCACTGTTGACCTTATGTGAACATTTCTAAAAATATAGCTGTCGTGATTTATAGATATTGCGTCTATACGGAACATCTTTGCACAATCAACGCACTTAAAAAATACTTAAAACATTTTAGATATTTACTCAAATTGTAAATTTTTTTTTACTTTCAAAAATTTCATCAAGTGAAAAAATCATTTTAATAATAATCTTATATAATATTCCCCGTATTTTCAATCAACGCGTTCCATTTTAACGTCTCCTTTTAAGTCGACAATCGATTTTTGTGCGACATATGCAGTGAAAAAAAAATTAAAACGAGCTCTCCACTACTGACCTGTAAAGATCGTTCTCGGTGACGATGTCGCGAATCGAGTCCTCCGGGTCGACAGGGACCCCCGCCGCTCTGGACGGTGTGAGAATGCGTCGCGACGGTCCCGCAACGGCCTCGTCGTAGGCGGCCGAGTCTCGTAAGGCGCTGGCCGCAATCAGATCGTCCTCGGACGTCGTGGTCGGCAGATCGATGCTCGGGCTGGGCGACCGGGATATCGCGCCCAGCAGGTCTTCGCTCCTTGAATGGCGCATCTCTCTAGCACCATATCGGTCGGCTCTGCGCTCCATCCTTCGTCCCACCCAGCATAAGGCGCGGCCTCGAAGACGTTATCACCGTACGCGGCGACAGTACTCTCATCCGGATGTGATCCTTTCGTGTCGGTCCTCTCCGATCGTGACGACGCCGGCTTCCGGCCGTCCTCGCGGAAATTCGTCCTCCGTCGATTGATTCGTTGCGCGCGTCCAGAACGCTAATTTCTTCTAATTCGTTAATTTGTGCAACGCGTTCGATATTACTTTCGCTCAAAGTAAATTTCGTATATAACTTCCGTTTATCGTGTAGATATTAAGTCGTGTCGATATCCTTCTCGTGTACGAAGCCGTATTTCGTACTTTTCTATTCTTCTCGCAGCGTCAAAAAAAAAAAAAATCGGCAATGTCTCTTATATTCGCAATTGGAACTGCGAAATCTCGATCGAGATCTCTCGCGCGCCCATTCGTTCCTCTCCACTTCCTTCGACGCCGACCTCGATGTTCTCCTTTTCCGTCAGCTCCTCTCACACACGGATCTTCCTCGATGTACACGCGCACACATGCGCGCACGCACGCACGCACTTTCCCGCTTTTCACACTAAATTAACTCCGCGAAATTCATTTCGAAAAATTCTTCTTTGGACGCGCACACCAGATTAAACGCGCGCGCGCGCGCGTGCGGATTCACAACCGAGAAAAAAATACCCTCACGCGAATTCCCACGCGGAACCACACTTCTTTTTCGCTCCGCGCTTCGAGTTACGATATATTTCTGTATATTTAATGGCATGCGTACATTCACGCTCGTGATTCACGTGCGAGAGCTCAGCGGGCAGTGATGGGTTTCGTAATTCTCTTTGCCTCTCGATGCTCACACGGCTTGGTCGTTGGCCGCGTAATTGCGCCAGGTAAAATCGTGGAAACCAACAGGATCGCGCCGCCACCACCGTCGCTGCTGCTGCTGCTTCTTCTTCTTCTTCTTCTTCTTCGCTTTCTTACCTCCTCCTCGGAGAAGGTAACGGGCTCTTCGGGGCGAGGATTCTCCGTTACGTCCGTCGGCGCGTTAAAAAGCGCCTCTTCCACTTCCTAAAGAGAACAACTGAGTTATTCACTTTGACATAAATACGAGAACGTAAAAGAACGTTCCTCGAAAGAAAACGAAAGATGTGATAATAAACAATTTCGAAAATTAGGATTTAGATGTAATTTAAAATTATGATTTCTAGATTTTTCAGAAAATTAATCTGTTAAGTTTTTTTAGAAAATTAGTTTTCAGGTGTAAAATTTACCTGCTTGTTGCCATTCAATGCTCCGGCGACGGTGAACGATGGACGATTGAATTTCTACGCAAAATTCCTTTTTTTCCGCTTAACACGTAAAGGACGATGCCGTGAATACAATATTGTCACTTTAGTGTCAAACTCGTGTGTCCTTATTAAACCTCCCCTGTTCTATCAGGAACGATACATAAACAAGGAACGTCGTTTTCCTCGGGAACACCTAGAGAGCCATCGAAACATTAATGTTTCAGGGGCAACGTCGTCGCCAAGGATGACCCCGAGAACGTTCCCAAACACTACGGCGTCGGTCTTAAGAGCCTGCACGTGTCAACGTCCACTTCGACGCTCGGGCACTCCCTTCAAGGACGCGCGCGGCACCTAAACGCGAGGTCGATCGCGCGCGATCGATGCGCGCTGCGAGGATCCTCGGTCCTCGACTCCGTCGTCAAGCGGCCATCTTCGTCGTGCTTCCGCAACACGGGCTCAAACGATTCGGGCTCTGAGAGGTCTCCGAAAAATACGGTGCCGGATCTCCTACCTACGGAACATGCGCGCGCGAGACGCTATAACGTCGGCCCATCGACCGCGTCGTGCCGCACCTCTGTTCTATCGCGCTGCGCACTCCGGACGACTGCCGGGCGGCTCGATTTACCGGGACGGTGAATCCTTTTCCGCGCTCTTCGCCGGCAAGGCGCGAGGAGCGTCCATAGGCTGCCCGGCCGACTGTTTTCACGAGTATCGAAAGGGGACTCGAAAGAGAAGGGGCGCTTAATACACTGGCTTAACGCCGCTGCTCGCAGGATTCGCGAGGCAGGATGATGATCAAGTGACGATCCTGCGGCTCGGGCGAACAGATGTGGCTTAATTCAAACAACGATCCAAATATTTGCCGAGCGAAAGTCACAACACGCAATTTGTACAATATGATAAAACAGAATGCGATCGAAATATTTTTTATTGCAGTATAATTCCAATAAGGAAAATAACTCTAACATATGTAATATCCCTTTTTTTTATCGATTTAATGTTGCTCGGAAATCTTGTTTAATTCTTTATAAATAATTAATAATATATTTGAATTAAGTTACCGTTTGAAAAGGATCGTTTCTCGTCGAATACCATTCACGAACGCTTCTCATCATCCGCGGAACGTCTCTGAAACACGCGCATAGATACATTCGCTCGGCCTTGACCTTAATTTCCTCGAATTTCTCCGGAAAAATCACCACATTTCTTGAAACACCAGTAAGAGTTAAGTCAACTCGATTACGACTGCGCTTCTTATCGAATGACGACACGATGTTTGTTTGTTCTTGCAAGCGCGATAATGATGATGTTTATCGTGACGAAGTTTGCAAGCGGACTTTAACTCATTTGATACAAAATTGTTGAACTGATTACGCGCAAACGATTGAGTTATATTTTTGACAACTTTTGCACGAATTTTTTAGCTACTTGATATAACTTTCTTACACTCAAAAAAATGATCTAGCAATAATAGCTAAAATTTTCTAGGTGTAAAAAATTAACTAAAACAGATAAATGATTAGCAACTGTTGTGATATTGCATATGTAATTACTTAATCAGTTTAGATGACAGAAACAGAATATATATCTGTATTGTTTGTGAACTTTAAAAAGAAAGTTTCTTTAAAGCGCCTATCTATATAAGATCAATCACGTGTTAGATCATGCAATGAATAACATTTAGCAATGGTACCTAAATTTTTCAGAAGCTATTGCTAGAACATTACTGCTATAAATTCTATATGTGACAAACAATGTTTTCACAGATACGAAAAATAGCGATACATTCTTGTTGCGATATCTAGAAATCTAACTACATCAGTGAAATATTTTTTTGAGTGTAGTAAGCAGATTTTGCAGTTTTTCTTCCTTCTTTTCTCTCGAGTTTTATATTTATCGTAAAGCAAACTGCAACGATCCACTATTCTATATAATTAAAATTCATTTCGAGTTTATTTCCATAAAAAACATACATTGCACATACAAAAATTCTGGGATGACAGGAGGTCAGGAGCGTCAGAGAATGCGCAACTCCGTAAAATAAAGGACTTTATGTTCTCTCCCTTGGCATTTTAAAACTTTATCGCGATACATAGCTAATAATTAAAATGCTATATAGACATTTATCTCCAAATATTATCTTTAAACTTCGGAACTGTACTTTAAATGACGTTTAGTTCTTCAAGAACCAGTTTCTTTTCGAAAACAGTGCATATACAACTGATGTATACATTTTATATAGAACTGAAATATATCTTACACAGAACTGGATCATATTTTACATAGAACTAATCATCATTCATCGCATACGCTAATAAATTCTTTGCACAAAAAACTTTGTTTCAGGATTTGGCTTCTTATCATCAATCGGTTCCGTTTTCTGTTGTTTGATAAACACGTCAGAATCAATCTTATCCGATCAATGACAATTGATATAAGCACCCGAGATATTAATCTCGTAGATAAAATAATAAACTTACTCATCGAACTGCTCGTAGATTAAAAAAATTATAGTCCGCCAATCTATTACGCTCTAATCGTTGTCTCGTCAAGCTTTGAAGAATCGCACGACACGGATGACATATTGCTTGCATATTGGACACTCAGACATTTGTTTGCCGCAATTGATGCAGCAAGCCATGTGACCGCATTCCAAAATTACGCACTCAATCGGAGCGTCCCAACAGATTTTGCACAATTCTTCTTCGCTTAACTTTTCCACGTCTGTAACAATAATAATTCAATTATTGTATGTACATATAACATATACAATGCATCACAAAAAAGAAAATGTACATTCTAAAGTTCTATCCTACCAAATGTTATAACATTATAAGGCATAAAAATGAATAAAATGTACATTAATGTTAAAATGTCTGATGGCTATTTTAATATCTTACCTTGTCTAGATTGTTTATACTCTTGCCATAATCTGGACACCCTGTTCAACAATTCCTGCCTTTCTATGCAGCCTTTGTAATCTACGCGATTTGTACTCAATAGATTTTTCAATTGTTTAATGTTTAAATATTCTAGTTCCGATGCTTCTTTAATGTCTGACAGATGCACTTTATCTGACCACTGCAAGAAGATAGAATTATGATAAATGTACATGTTGCATAAGTGTTTATGTTTATAATGCATATATATATATACATACCGTGGGAATTTCTGTAACCATATCTGATTTTTTTTCATTTGATGTTTCAGAAACTTCCTCTTGCTCGGTAACTACTGGCTCTGCTTGGACCGCATTACTAGAATCGGCTGGATTACTATCGAGCACTTCTTCTATTTCAACGTGATTGCTTCTCGTCGATCTGTCTTCGGGCGACTCATTATCGCTGGGCGGAATGCTTACGATCGGACTACTAGCAGTACTTCTACTACTACTTCCAACTTCCACCACCAAGTCATCTTCCATTTCAACATCTTCACTTCTTGTGGGCTGTGGTTCTGCCTGTGCATTTTCATGTGGTGCGTTATTTATGCTGACATTTGGCATGCTTTCCGATCTGTTTAAGGAAGACTCAACTCTGAAACTATACATTGCATTAGTTTAAAATATTATCGCTATCAGCTTATTAATTTATATTTGAGACCTTTGTAGAAATTTTGTAAGAATATTTTTATGTTATACTTTTATAAAAAATATCTATTTATTAGGTGTGATAATATTCATATTTAATTAATTTTTTTAACTCTTTCAAAACAAGCTATTAGATCATATTGTAATACTTTTTAGTAGTTTTAAATTGTCAGGACTTGCAATCGTTATGTAAAATTGTAACGTACACAACTGGCTCTTGCACATTTTGCAATCTGATATTGTGATTTATACTGGGATCAGCACATAAGCAGGGATCAGCTCCATTAGCAAAGCTCATTAGTATATGCACCAAGTCTTCTTTCTCTGAAATTAATGGTATGGTCTTATCAATTTTATTCTATCACAGTCCAATTCTGTATGTTCAATTCCCATTTTCCAAAAGAAACTATATTCTTAACATCATACACGCATTAACTATCATATTGAACATATATTCTCATATTAAATGCAGTACTGAATTGAAACCAATCTGAAAAACTACTATTATATATTCAAATAAAGAAATAGAACGAGATTTATAAAGAGCAGATATTTTCCAATTCGTATAAATGTTGTATAGAAAGAAAGAGCATAGTCGAATATATTTAGAACTTCATATAAAGACCATACAAAATTTGGGAAAATTTTGTATAGATCTCTGGGTTATTTTATGTAGCAAATAATCTGAATTCCTTGAAATTAGTATTTTTTTAAATTTATTTTAGAGAATTATGTCAACAAGCAATGTTTATATACGTACCAATGCATCCTTTGACAGAAACCTTTTTTGCTACGAGATACTGACGTATGTCTTTGGAACGCATTTGTCTAATTTGATTCTTAACAAGTGGTCTCCTAGAAAGTACGCCGCAACTCTCGCATGTAAATATCTTGTCCATCCGTTTGATCACACACTCAGAGCAAAAATATCTCAGACAGTCCATACATTGTTTCTGAAAATTATATGAGGAATATAAAAGTTTATGTTTTGTTCTTCAATCAGAATCAGATCAATTTTTATTCACCAATTTGATCGAATCAGATTAAAAATTATTATAAATCTAATTCAACATATATAATTTCTACAAAAAAATTATTTTAAATCCCTGTATAAATAGAAATCTCCAAAAAATTCAAGATTTAAAGCTGCAAATAAGATTAATTAGTGAGTAATTTAGTAGGTAAAGAGAATTGATGATACTTTTATGACAAATAGACCAAGGCCTCTTTCATCATCCAAACGACGTGCAGTTCAGTGTCGAAATTTGTCAAATTACCCTTTCAAATCGATTCAACAATTATGCAGGAAAAACATTGGAGAAAAAGTATTCACTTACTTTTCTTTTGAACAAGTTGAACTTCGCACTACACGCCTCGCAAGCCATCTCGTTGGAAGAAGTCCTGGAGCCGTTTCCTCGTCGGCCTGAAAGTAATTTCGTACGCACTGTGACGTTTAGGTAACTGCGGAAATGAACACTGTAAGACGTTCTATGTAAATCTATGATAGAATGAATGTTACATGCATGCCGTGAAGGCGACATAATAGCGAATGTAACCTTTTTAGATCGATATCGCTACGGTTGTTTGCGTTATCGGCTCAGTATAACTGACAATGACGGTGATATTGCAAGTTGGAATAACCAGAAGCGCCGATCGGTAAAATGGTGAGAGACATTGCACTGCAGTATTTTCTTCTCATATACGAATCATCACGATATCTGTGATCTATGTAGTATTATAGTTTTATCTCATTTTCTTAATAATAAACAATTTTTTTTAATATTCTAAAAATGGTTCTAAAGTGTTTTTTTTGCGGAATAAAAAGTGATAAAGAAACTTGTCGAACATTTCATAGGTGAATGAGGTTAAGTTTGTTCATAACTGTAATTCATATATTATATATAATTTCTGTTTAAAAATATTATAATAATTAAAACAAGTATGATCAAGGTATGGAAAGATTTGTGCAACGTTGTCCGTGCTTAAAGTAGAATGTATTTCAATTAATTAACATAGTGTAAACATTTCAGTTTCTTATTTTCAGTATATAGTCCATAATTTCAATTAATAATATTGTCAAAAATAAGATTCCTTAACATCTTGTATAAAAAAAGGTTTTATTCTTCTAATTGCGTTGTTATTTGTTATACAATTGAAAGTGAAATTATAAAAATATTTATACTATTTTAATTGATTGAAATACATTCCACCTCAAGCGTGAACAATGTTGTATGGTTCTTTCTCCACACCTTGAATTTATTGTTTTAATTATTTAGAGCCTTTTGATTTGATTATTGTTATAATAATTATTAAATCATCTAATATTTGTTTAATATTTAATATATCAATAAAATGTGTACTTACAGGCTTCCAAACAAAGAGAGACATCCACGTTTATTCGAGAAATGGCTACAGAACATGAATATAAGCTCAAATATGAGAATTTCAAGAAGTACAAGATTATGTTCTGACCATTTTGAAGAAAACAATTTTTATCAAAACAATGAAATTATACATTTAAGATCAGGAAGTATTCCCACAATATTCAACAAATATAAAACGCAATGTATAATATGTAAAGTAAAGAAAGGAGAAGTATCTTGCTCATTTTTTAAGTAAGTTGCATCATTTTTTTTCTTAATTTCCAACAACTTTATAATTTATAGAAAATTCTATTTTATACATTAAATTGAAATATTAATTGTAGTTGTAAATAATTTTAAGAAGGTTTGCTAAAATAATATAGTAAGAATTATTTAACCCTTTATTAAATATTATAATTAAATAATATATATTATATTATAATTATGCCAAAAAACTATAGTTCAGGCTATAGTTCAGTATAATTTACATACTATTTTCAAATTTCAAATTAATTAACTGTTAAAAAGAGAAGGTAAAAGCACATGAATTTTTATTAAGAGATTATCCAAGCTTATCTATATTTATTACAAATTACAGATGTAACAATAATGAGCAAATTTTATATGGTAATTTAATTTAATAAGATTTTTTAATTTTCAGATTTCCGATAGATAAACCGGAACTTTTGAAACTGTGGCTTTCTAATATAAAAATAGAGAATTTTTATCCTACTTCAACAGACGTGATATGCTCAAACCACTTTGAGAAAAAAAATTCTTACGTTATGGGAAAAGAAAAACTTGGCAAAAGAAAAGCAAAGCAGTACCAACTATATTCCCAGGTAAGCATTTCGAAGATTGTCTCATAATTTATGTTTCAAATGTATTGACTTTTATTTCAAATATTTTCATATATTTTTCTTGTTTGTTTCTGTATAGAAAGTTAAATTCTAATATTTTTTTTCCTTATAATGAAGAAAATATCTTTTGTTGTGGTGACATAGTTGTGGTGCCACTAATGAAGAAAATTTCTTTTCTTTATTATAGATTATTTTATAATGTTTGGATTATATTTTACATTATAAACATTCTAAATAATTAAATATATGTGTAGAACAGTATATATATATGAAAGATAATATTATAATATACGATTTTGAAAAAAAAAACAGAATCTCTTTATAATTTGTTCATAAAACATTCTAATAAAAACATGAAAATATTCTAGAATATGATGCTGACCAAAAAGTTTCTATATCAAACTTAAACCAGCAAACGTGTATGAGAACGAAGGAAAATAATAATAACTTAATATCTCTTGATCTTACAAATCGCAATACCTCAAAACTACATCATAAAGACAAATCAAAAACTGTACAACAATCAATCAATCATATTCTACCAGATCATAACTATGCCACTTCGCCAGATAGACTAAATAAAAAATATCTTAAGCTAAAGCAGCATTACCTTTTGCAGTCCAAAAAATTAGCAATTAGCAAACAACGTATATTCAAATTAAAGAACATAATTACTAAATTACAGACTATAATAAAAGATAAAGGGATTTCTACGTGTAAGAAATGTACTACATAAAAAATTAGGGAAGCGCTTTAAAACTTACAATTTTTGTCTTAAGAGGCCGTATTTTAGCTTCGGGGAATCATAGAATAAGTTTTCTGGGTGGAGCAGACAATATCATCTTTAAAGTTTTACTCTTTAAAACAAACTCCGAAAAATTGTCCTATGATCCCCTGAAGCTGAGACATGGTCTCTTAAAGAACGACATTTGCAAGTTTTAAAGCGCTCTCCTGATTGTTTTGCGTAGCTTATATACAGCCTGTTGTAATTTTAATGGTCGAGAATAAAGATATCACTGATTGCTCAAACAATAATGATTTGATGACAACAATGATGATACATTTGCAATTTAAGCTTATACATCAACACTAGTCATGATTTTGTGCAGTTAACTGTTCAAAATTGTTTTCTTTTTTTTTTAGTTATCACTAAAAGCTTCAACGCCAGAAATGTTCTTTTCTTTATTTTATAACATATAATTAGATAGTTTACGTTGCTTAAGATTAGACGATAAGAAAGTATGCTTTGTAAATTCGTGGACAATATTTTTTTGTATTTTTCTGAATAAAAAAAAACAAAAAGATTTATATCAGCACTTGGCGAATTCGATTGGATGCACTAGTGTGCACTAAATGCGCTCTTTTTTCGTTTTCTATGTTCAGTCTTGTCCTCCACTAATTTACGGCCATATGTATTCAGTTCTAAATGCACTACATTTTTGTGGATAAAAACATGTTAATATGATATTAATCATACAAGGGTACTTGCTCTGGTTATAAACGTCTAGTGATCAGCCACTGGTTTAAAGTTATTGAACACTGGCACAATGTTAGTGCATGCCAGCCGAATTCGCCAACAATCTTGTTCAAAGTCTTCTTGTAAACTTTTTATGTCATTGCATAATCGTATGTTCGACTAGTAGCAGCGCGTAAACACTTGAACGCGATGTGAAGTGTTTACTGATAAAAAAAAATCTTTATAAGTTAAAGAATAATTTAAGAATGCTAAATTGTATTTCATTACAAATACGAATTATGGTAAATTATATTGCAGTAGAACATTTTTAGAAAAAAATTTTATTGCAATTACAATTTAAATTTTACATTCTTCCATGCAATGATATTTTCATAAGCAATTCGTACTTTTACATACTAAAAATTTATTTATAAAAGGTGGAGCAACGCAACTGCTGTTAGTATTATATTTATTATGGCAGCGCGCGCGCGCGCGCAAAGATATTTTACATTCTCAAAAAAGTAGGAAATCAGATTTTTCTGCTCGAATTTTCTATAGAAAAATCTCACAATTTTAGGTTTAAATTGTTATAAAAAAAATTAAATTATTATATTACCATTAAAATTTAAATTAAATTTAAATTAATAATTTAATTAAGTTCGCATTAAATTAAATTATGTATCTGGTGGAAGAAACAAAATTAGAAGTATTACTAATAAATTATTACTAAATTTAAACCATAGTTCAATTATCAATAGCGTTGTATATGCATACCGTTGATTCATGAAATCTACAAATTAATATATCGCACGTGTATGTGGGAAAAATTATTTACTTAATTTTTCTTATCTCTCTAAATATCGTCGCACGAATGTCGTGCCACACTGATATTTTATCATTCGTTCATGCCTCTGTAGTCACGTGAACAATCGTATCGCACACACAAAATATGACTAAATTGTAAAAAATATTCTCTCTCTCTCTCTCTCTCTCTCTCTCTCTCTCTCTCTCATCCAAATAAATAAATATTAAATACTTAAAAAATTATTAAGCGATTTTAGCGTCACGATGCCGACGACTAGCAAACTCGACAGTTCCCTATGCGTTTGGAAAAATATGTACATATATGTAGCACCATATACAGTATCTTGGCCAAGAATTCTTGACCTATCACGGTGTCATGGTTATAATAATGGTAATCTCATTGTGTCAATAATATGACATTGATATTGACACTAATTAGTAGCCTTTTTTAAAAGCTTCTATATATAAATCTATACGTTTCGAAAAATATTTAATCATATATGTACAGTCCACACATTAGCACTAATTGCGATCTTCCAATTAGCTAAATGTGGGTTTGATCCGATCCAATTCGAATTAAATACTATATTTTTATTGAAAAAAAAATGCAAAGTTACATTTAACGCTAAACGTAGCGTTAAACAGAACTTTAATCAACATCGGTATTAAAGTCTGTGAAGAGAAGTCAAACTTCTTTTCACTCTTTGGGCAGTTTTTACTTTAATACGCCGAACAATGCATGCTCAGAAGAAAGCGAGCGACTTCTACGTATGTGTACAACTATAATTATATAATTACCATTACATAGGATGCACGATATTCTGTGCGCTCTGCTCTGATATCCTCGTGAGCGGCTCTTCGTCGAGGTCATTCGAGATTTGATTCCAGTGTTCGCTTTCCTCGTCCTCCTCATTGTGTATCGAATCCTTCCTGCAATACCATTGTAATTTTTAATTTAGTAAATTTAATTTAATTTAATAAAAATTGGAAACACACACAAAGATACGAAATTATTTTTTTAACGTGCGCTATCTAATTATTTTTATGCGTAGTAGTTTGGAAAAACTCAGACGGAATTGATTGTAAGAGAGAATTAAAATTAACATTAATATTACTAACTGATATTTGTTGCTGGAAGGCAGGAATAAGGATTTCGGACAATCCTTGAAGTAGGGCCAGCACTCGCCGTGAAATTTTCCGCGATTTTCCGCCTCAACGTATTCCTTGAGAAGATTTGCGAATGGCGATCGGCTGGCGCTGAAAACAAACGTCGACGTTAACTCGAACATTTTTTTTATACATTCCTATTACAGCTATTTTTAACTTCATTTTATTTAGCATGTACTAATTGTTACAAAAAAAAAAAAATTTAGGCAACGATCTAAAAATCAACTTGTGAAATAAAAACGACTTACGTGAAGAACAACTTCAACATTTCACCGATCAGGCCGAAGTTGTTCAAAGGGTGTCCCTGAACCTCGCAGATTGCCCTCAATACGCACGCTTTCCCGTTCATTCCTAATGTAGTCAACATATCTTCGGCGGTACCGTAGAGCAAGGCCCGTTCGCCACCGTGGAATGCATTTTTTGGCACCTCCGTCATGTCCCGCTTGTGCAATCTGCGCTTGATGAACGCCGCAATAAAGTCTGCCATCATCATGCCGGCCTGTCGGCTTTTCAGCTTTCTATCGAAGGACGGCGGCAGAGCGCCGTACGGATTCTCATTGTCTGTCAAGCCCAGCTTGTCGAAGTCGACTGGAGAAAAAATTTCAACCCTTTATCGATCGATCAGAGATGGACATCGGTATTTCGTGAAGACTTCTTTTCAGAAAATTAAAATCCCGCATGATCTAATTACAGAATCACTTAAATTGAGTTAGATAGAACATTTTGATAAATTAAGTTTTAAGGACAGAAGAATATTCAATACATTATTATTCTTTCAATTGACAATTTTAATTCAACAAAATCTTAACATAGGCATGAATGCTAATTTTTAATGCTAAAGTTTACTATTACATTTCTATTTTGTATCGTCTTTTCTACTATTATTTCATTACAAGAAAATATCTGATTTCTGAAATACACGTCTTCATGATTCACGCGATGCTTTATGTTTTGCACATAGATTTTTAGCGGATGAACTCACTTGTAAATGGCAAACTGACAGTTATATTACTGAGGAAACCGTAAGGTGGATGCCGGACGAAGGGCAACGCCAACGTCGGCGTGATTGTCATAATAGTGCCGGGTGGAAGCGCGATCCGTCCGTCGTTTGTGAACCAAAATACCCTCTTTTGTCGATGATGTTGCGATTTCTCATGAAAAGGTTTATCCTCTGCATTTTCTGTGGCGGACGATTCTCTCAATGCGAACAGACCGAGCAGCAAAAACAGCCCTTTTCGAACCATCTTCCTATTCAAGCAACTGTAACGCAAACTCATAAAGTATAATTATTTATAAATAGATATAAACTGTGTTTGTGTATAATTGTTAAATTTAAAAACTTTAAATCAGAACAACTATAGAATTTCCGCTTCGTTGTAATTAAAAAAAAAAACAAAAGTAGATTTACTATTGAAAAAAGAGTTAACAGGCCTTGGACGGCTTAAATTTATAGACCGTAGATTAGATTAATGATTTTATTGACGAAAAAGTGAAGTCACATAATCTTCCGCCTGCTAATGACACACCGGTGTTTGAAGTAGGCCGCACGGTGGAAAATCCGTGGAATTATTCACGATAAATTCCGCGACGCGTGTTTGTATTATATATCACACACTTCATGAAACGTACGGTACCCTTGTATGTGAATCTCGAAGCAAGAAACGTCGAGGAAAAAAAAATTTTTCTCCGACAGGTATCGCCGATCGATGGATTTTGCCGTCGTCGTTGTCGTTGTCAGCGACTACATCCTGTTCGCACGAACGAATGGACGAACGAATGGACGAACGTGCGTACACGCGAAAGAATTTCGCCTGATTGATATTCGGAACGAGCATACTTTTAGTTGCAAGCTTGGCCAATTCGGTCGATTAGAAATTTAATTTATGGATAAACAAGATGGTGTCCCCCTCGGAATAACATACACGATAAATCAATCGTCAATTTGTCGCTAAATTATTTATAATCAATATAGAAATATTCAGGCGATAAATCAAATATAGAACTTTAGATCGCGATGCAGGATGATAAAAGGCAGGAAATTTTTCTGTACATTTTATCTATACTTTTTTCAGCCGCGAATGATGACACGCAAAGAAATTAAGTTATTTTCACGTATAATGCGAGAACAAAATTTGTATAACTTCTCATTTCAATTTTTTTTTATGCCGGCATCCCTCACGTCCCGAACCGGGGGACGTCTCGTATTGTGCCGTTCCGACTAAGGTTATTGGAACATCGCGTGCGGATTCACTAGGCTTCGGTCGTAATGGCCGTGTGGTCAGAAAACCCTCTAGGTGGTCTAACAGTATATAAAGTGAAAAACCTGCGTAGAGTTAAAGGGAAATTGAAGGAAAACCAGGTCAAACCGGATTTTGTCCTAGAAAAACCCAAGTCAAAGCGTACAGGTATAGCCCCTTCTCAGGCCACTGGATTAGCAGCTCGTAATCCAACCTGTCCGGCTGTATCGGCGATGTAATCTATTTTATATTTCAAAAATTGTATATTATTATTTAAATTACATTTTTCAAAAACACATGTCATTTCTATCACGTATTAAATAAATTTTTCCAACAATGCTCGATTTAAATTATAATATGCATAAAAACCTAGCAGTTTATTGTCAAAAATTAAATGTCACGTGTAGTCTTCAACGTGATCTTTTGGAATGTGGAATCCTCTTATTAATATTACAACTTTATTTTAAGTCCAGAATCCTGACACGATTTTTCAACATTAATCCACGAGAAAAAGGACCCTCTAACGCTTAATTTAATGTTTAATTTAAATATTTACCGCTATGATATTTCGCATTTTACGAACTTGCCCCAAAAACTCAAGTGGACTTAATTTATTTTACGCGATCATGCCTTGAATATTATAACGGATACTCGTCATCAAATTCGAGCGATACTATGTCAAATAAAAAAAAAGTGCGTAAATTATTTCCATTGAGAAATCAGTGGAAGCACTGTGATCAACTTGATTTGCTCTAGATCGACAACGAATTAACTGGCACATATTGTTCAAACATGAGAGTAAAGTTCAGTGGTAAGTAGAAGAAAAAGAAAAGGTGGGCCGACCGCTAAGTGCATCGTATGGAATACAAATTATTGACCCGCATATTTTGATATGTGCGCCGTGTCGTCCGAGAAGAGAGCCGCACCGCCCGACGAATTAAACCACCTGCAATTACGGTCCCGGTCGCAGGCCATCTCGTCTTTGGTAAGGCACCGTTAGGTTGTAAAACCGGATCGATTTTAAAGACCTGCTTTTTTGCGGATGGTTTTCGTATTCGGAATTCGAAGCGTTCTTTTGAGGGTGACTCAGCGACAGGCTTCTTTAAGCCGCTTAGGCGGCTCAAAATCGGCACAAAATCCACGTGTAGAATTTCCACCCAAAGCTCTGTTCGTTAAAAAAAATTCTTATGGAAAAATATTGGAAAATTGATCATTTTTGAGTAAACGATGAAAAATAAAAATCTTCCAAATATTATAATAAATCTTTATAGGTATTCTATAGTAATATTAAACTCTTTTGTAAGCGAGATCTACATTTTCTGATTGCATTTTGTTCAAAAGTAGTTAAAAATCTTCATTTAAATATTTTAGCGAATAAATAAAATATTTGTTAAACCGTTCTTTCTTTGAATGATAAATTATATAAAGTTATCCTGTTAGTAATCTTAAGTATTCTTCAATTTAATTTGATCGACCAATTATTTGTTGAAAAAAATAATTATTTTCGCAAAATAATAATGTTAAAAGACGCCGCTGTGAAACTCTATACAATATTCGACTTATCGATACGATGATGAGTGTAGCTGACGGATTTATTCGTAATCAAGATCATTTGGTTCTAGACCAAGTCTCGGGACTCCGAGCATTGCTAACGCTAAATACACGGCTCCACAGCGAGCATCCCGTCAAATAATTAATCTGTAGCTTACGGCGCGTGTGTGCGTGTAGCCATGTGTAACGAAGAGTACTTATTGAGCGTAATCAGCTACTTTCTAAGATCACGCGCGGATGTTTCGTTCAAGCGAGGAATTAAAAACTAGAAAAAATTGTGGTAATTAACAGAACATATTGCTATTAGTATTAAAAAGATATATCAAAAGATCAACAAGATTAAAATTTTGATCGTTCTTCGAATATTTACAAGCCTTATACTTTCAGCGTAAACTTTTTTTTAGATTTCCAATTTACAGACGATCAGTAACAGAAGAGAGATTTCACTGTTTAAGAAAAGTTTTTAAATTCAAACACTGTGCAGTAAAAATTTGATTTTTGGTTTCTTCGAAAGAAAAATAAAAGTTAAAAAAGTATTGAACTAGTTTTACAGTTTCACAAATTAGAATAAGTTAATCTAGAGATTTACTATACGCATTGCAATCGTTTCTTTTATAGTACGAATATTTCTTTCTTAAGACACGCATACGCTCATTAATGCGCAAATCTCAACATGCATGGAATCGTGCCTCTGTAATCCGAGATTTTCCGCCGCACATGCCGATGTATATGTGCCTATTACATATTTGTCTGAAAGTGAATGTAATGATTCGCTGACGTCTCGCTGTGACTGTCACATACTGGCGACATTCAGATGGAAATCGTAAATGTAAATTTGCTTTGCTCACGTAATAATTGAATAATATGTGCTAGCAATTGTTGCGTTTATTATTAGAAAGAGAGGATCTTATTTTTTCGTGTAATTTCAATTAAACTTGGTCATCAATTTTAATTGGATTGTTAATAGAAATTTAACTCACGTTATTTTGTGACCGCTAAGATACGTTGAAGATAAGAAGATGACAACAAGTCGCGATCAATGTTCCGATAAATTTCTATGTGCATCGCAAAGACGAAATATGATTTCAATTGTTGGTGCTTCGGTTTTAAAAAGTATGCGATGCGAAAACGTATATACAATCGCGTTATGCCGCATCCATGTGGACTAGTCGATGCCTTCGATCAATAATCATAAGCCTCGCGTATCCACCACACGTGCCTAACCACGAAGATTAACCTGTTCGCTCGCTTCAGCAAACCGGTGAATCGTCGTCCTGCAATCTATCTGTCCGTCTTCGCGGCAGCACTTTTTCGAATAGCGAAATAAAAAAGAATTGAATGGACAACGCTGCGGAAAAAGTTTGACGCTCTATTAAACCGAAGAAGAGAACAGCAACATTCATTCTGATTGTTTGTTATTAATGTGTAAAATTTTATTACAAATTTTTGAAAAATATATTGGTACGAAGGAGAGTTTTTAAATCGTGTAGCATTAATTGTAAATCACTCGCACGAGAAACAGGGACATAATCGAGAAAAATGATGAATCAATTAAGATTCAAGAGCTGCGAGCAACTAAATTAATATTCGTGTAACAAACGCGCGTGTATGTTATCTCACCTTTATTCAGCAGCAGGCGCGAAATTTCGCGATGTCGACGCACGGCTCGCGGATGAATCCGCCGGCGCTTGGTGATATGTAGGGTAATCTTGACACACACTGATTAACAGATCTGATTAACAAGAGGAGCCGCGGCGAAGCATGGTGTAACAAAACCGTCGGTGCGCTGCGCAATTCTTGGTGGCGTTTTTGCGAATCGGTGCAATCGCGAGTATCACTTGATTACACGTACGTGTCACCCGTTTCGACATGTAAGTGTGACGCTACGCATCGTCCACTGTGAAAGAAAAAGAAAATAGAACACCGCGAAAAGATGAACATCCAGTTCTTCTTATTGTATTAGAGCGCACGTGTTTCGTTTTTTTTTTTTGTTTTTTACGTCTTATCCGAAAAACGGACGGACGACGGTTTGAGCAGATATTGATGGATCAATTGCGATCTATCGTCATGCGGATAATCGCGTCGACCTGGTCAACTCTGTCTTCATCTTCATCGCGTCTGATTTTGCATTGGATGCATGTTTGTCCTTCAAATCGAATTAATCAAGCACGATACGATTAATCGCGATGTTTAGTTCGCACTGAAACCCGCACGAGCTCACCGAATGCGATGTGAACAAGTGTACACTTGGGATTTTTTTTATACGAACTGATCGGATCGTGCGTGTGTACGTGTCAATCTGAATTCTGCCCTCTCGAAGTGCCGTTCTTTATCAATGGATTATCTATGTTTATATTTACATCAATTTCTGATATATTGATGAAACTCTCAATCAGCGTGCCAATTCATGCCAATTGCGTCAGTCTTTCCAGAGCACTTTATCAATTCTGTGTCTACATCCTGTTTCAGCGATCAATTTGAGAGCGCGTAAATTTTTTTCGGGGCGATGCGAATCAGTCTGTTTTCGACACAAAAACCTTCCTTCATCAACGGATTATCCGTTTTAATCCATCGCTTCGGGACGCGCAGCAGCGTTTTATCCGTAAGGGAACGTTCGCAGGTGCGACGGCCGTGGTGCACCGGATTCGGTTCGCTCGCTCACCGAGTTATCTAGTCACTCGCCGACTTTTTCAGACTGACCGCGCTCTCGCACGCGCTCTCGCCGTCTCCGATGCGCGCCGATCTCCCCCCTTTAATCGCGTTAATCATGTGCACCCTCCTTTCCCGCTTCTTGATACATGCGGCCACGCATGTACGGGAAACCGCTTCCTCGACTTCGTTGTCCGAATATACATTTTGTCCAACATTATTCGCGGCACGCTTCTGTTTGGAAAGAACAATTATAAAAATAAGAAGAAAATAGAGCAATAAGATGCTTTTTCCCTTGAATTTATTCTGTTTCAAACGCAGAAACAATAACAATCGTACAATCGGAAGGAACGAATTTCAGAAACATTGTGCTAGTATATCATGCTTCATGCAAATTTTTTTTTTAAATTTAGCACATAAAAAGGGAAGTCTCAAAGTGGGGGAAAAGATAAGACAGTGTAAAAATAAAATGAAAATTCGAAAATACAATAAAGTAAACATGTCTCTTGTCATACTGCTCTTTATGACTGTTTATTACATTTACATTATCTAATTAGTTGCGTACACATCACATAATATTAGCGACAAAAGGGAATTCGGAATAAAGGCACAATATATTGTTCAAAATAGCGGCAGAGTGCTGCGTGAACGCGCTTCGCCGTTCTGGATCTGAATATGCGGAAAGTTATTGAGAACGAGCAAACGAAGAGACATGCGTGCGGAAAAGGAAGACAGATGTTACGCAAATGAAAGAGCCAGTCCCCGCCAGAGAATGAAAAAAGGGAAAATCAAGGAGTATCCACGGAAGAAGTAGCGGTATATAAGCATCGCCGAGGAGAGAAGAAAAAAAGGGGTTACGTAGGGAAGGATATTACGGTTCGAAAATATGTAATAAGCTCTTACCGTTAACAATGTTAAAGATGACGAAAGAAAAAGGATTGGATAGAAATTAGACTTCGAAATATCTCAAAGGACGCAAAAAAAAAATGAGCCCTTTCTCACAACCACGTATAAGGATATATAAGGCGCATACGTAAGGATGCGGAGCGGAGGTTGCAAATAAAAGAAGAATTTAAAAGACTGCAACAGTTTTATTGTAACTATCTGTGATACGAACAATATCTTAATACGATAATACTAGTCCTAAATGATCTTAAAGGTTCGCGCGCGATCCTCGCGCGCTAAATCGGGAACTACGTAGATAAATCACCAGTGTATTCGCTCTTTTCCCAATTGCCGCTTGTCTAGTCGCGCGCCATTTAATAAGAGGCAGAGTAGCTCTCACGAAATCGCGGAGGATCGTCGTAGCCGCGATCGTCGGAACGCGCACGAGACCCTCATTCACAACAAATCTTTGCAATATAAATTGAACAAATCACATATAAAGATTCAAGTCGACAGGAAGGAGAGAAAGAAAAAAACTGCGCGTATACACTTATACGATTATATACGCAACTAGCAGTAACGTATCGTTAAGTATGATTAAACCTTAAACCAATATCTAGCCATACTAAGGCTTAAACTACATCAACTCGGTATTATGGCACCTGTACAATTTTTTACGCTGTGTGTACGTGTTCGTGTGTGTGTTTGTGTATGTGTGTGTGTGTGTGTGAGCCAAACTTAAAATCGGTATACTTGTACAAATCAATTAAGTGACATATTTCTGGGCGCGATCGAGTTATTGTCTAAGAGTAAAGCGATATGCTTATCGGCGCGTAGAGTGAAACTTCCACGAGCGGCTCTAACAATTTCGATGCAGCTGAAAAAACGCTCTTTTTCTTGTCGGCTGTTACAAATCTGTGCGTAAGTGTTAAGACATCTATGTTCAAGATCTGAACATATGTTCCCGCATCGAAAGCGGCATTAAAACGCCGCAATTCTTGATTATCGTGTGCCCGAACAACAAACGAAACTGCAATCCTGCCGTGTTTTTCGCGAGAAACGTCGCCTTATCAAATTTCCGCAATCGACAAATCGGTTTCAGCTAGTTGTTTTTTTTTTTTGTATCCATCGTGTATCTTGGGGTCAGTAATAGGAAAACTTTTAAATCGATTACACTGCTGCAGCGAAAGGAGTGAACAGTCTTCCTCCAGTATCCTGCAATTGTACGAAGAGCTTAACATGCAACAACGACTTAAACTCGCTTTGCGCAAAGACTTTAGAAAATCGCGAGAGCATTATCGATTGTAGAAAAAGGTAGCTTTCTTTGTAAATTTCTCATAATAATATCTTTAATATGAATAGCTTTGTATAAACACTAACATTACGACTTAACCGTAGATACTTCTCGGCTCAAATTTTGACGAAAGCGAGTTACATCGCCGTTTCGCATGCCTTAACGTGAAAAGTCGTGCTATACGTCAACATCGCAATCGAATTCGCGAACTCTTCTATAGCAAGAATATAAAAATCGACAATTTAAAAGGGGGTCTAAACGCATATCCAAACTTTATATTCATGATCAAATTTCTTGATTGCAGCGCGCCGCGCGCGGTATCTTTGCGCTGATCGCAGACTGCAAGATTCCAATCAAACACACGATAAGTACCTTCTGTCTTGCGGATAATGTTTCGAAAGCACATTAATCCTATAGTCGATTAGTGAGTGGATTATTAAGAGTGTAAAAAATGCGCGATCGCTGTGAGCTCGAACGGCAAGAATCGAGGATTCGCTCGACTGTTCGCCGTTTTTCATTTTCTTTCTTTTTTTTTTTTTCTCTTGGCGGATTGTCCGCATCGTTGTTGTACCATGGTCGTAACTACACGCTAAAGGAGATCCCTCGTGAATTCGGGACGTCTCGGTGAAGGCACACTTAATTCTAGGTCGGTAAGTTTTTGTACAAATAGCAACGGTAGGGGATCGATTCGCCGGGATCCTGTGAATCCTGCACGCGCGCCCGATACAAGGATAGTCAATAACGTGCGCGCGTTATCGAAAAATAAAAGACAAAATAAAACTCGAGATTAAGACACTTGGCTCGCTACGTGGCAGTGTGGTTGCACCATTGCAGAAGCATAGTAACCCACGCACTTATGATCTACGTATAGGATGTTTCATCAAATTAAATTAAACGCGCGCTAAAGTTGCAAGCGCATCGCTTGCAAGTATTAAAACAACATCTAATCTATTAGATAATTGGATTATTATCCTAAGCCGTTACTTTTTACCCCTACGAGTTGAGAGATTGAAAGTCACACCTAAGAAAAGATACGATGATCGAAGGAATGAAATGTGCTTTAGGACTGCCTGATAAGTGTCTCCAGAACATTTTATTTGCAAGCCAGATTACCAAAAGCGGACTACTAAAGAAGTTTTAGAAGAAGTATCGCCGGAATATAACAAGAAAAGTTTAAATAAATCAAAAAAGATTTATGATAGAGAATTGTGTCTTGCGATCGGAAGCTGGACAAATTTAACTTTACTATATATTCTGCTGTTAAACGCGATAAAAATGAAAGCAATCTTCTAGAAAAATCGACACATGATATGCAGCCTGAATCACTTAATTCTGAAATTCCATTTGAATTAATCTGGTGCGAATAAATGTAAAGAGAAAGACTCGAGCTTAAATTTAAGTATTGCAGAACATAATTTACACTATCTCGTATGAAGAAATTCCAATTGAAAATAATTTAACACATTTTCTCCGGTTAATTTGAGGCATACTTCATGATCAAATTATTGTATCAATAATATATTGTCGATGTATTGGATCAATATGAATGTACTATCGAGAGAACAACTTTGATAATGAAATGTTTAATCTCTTTTTTCATCACTGAATAAATTTACAGTGAAGTTTCTATCGATGCGACTCTCAACTTGTAGGGATAAAAATAACGAAGATAGTTGTCTGTTACTATCCTTATCGTTCTAATATTTATAAGACAAACGATACGCTCACAATTTTAGCGCGTTCAGTTATGCTTTTCTTACTATCTATCCATCGGGCTAGTCATTCCCGACAGGCTCGCTCCGACTATTCGTTGCCGATTAAAGGCCGATTTCAGCGACGGTGACTGTAATCTAAATTCACAACCGATTTCTCCTCGGCTCTTCCCGACAATTAAAAAAGAAAAGGGGAGGGGGAAAAAAGAGAAAAAAACAAAGATCGAGTGAAACATTTAAAAGAGCCAGTGAAACCGACTGCATGTTACTTCCGTAAAACGGGGCGAATAATAACGAAAAAAGAACAAAAACGAAAAGAAAAGACGTATCCCGTGCTAACTGTAAGTAAATGAAGACTGATTGCCTTCGACGATATATACGGACGCCAGGGTTTTACAACCTTGAGTCAAAGTTAAGAAAAAGCTTCTCTTCGAATAAAAAGTAAAAATTCAGTACGACAGAAATTCATATGAAAACTTCAATCTCTAAATTATATAATTATTTACAACGCAACGCATTTTGACGTAGGTGAAAGAATAATAACGATCATCAATATTTTGTTATCCCTTATAGCTTTTTTTATAAATCTTTCATAATGTTTTGTTTGGTTCCAAAATGTTTAAGAATTATTGCCTCGAACTAGTGTTAATAAAATATTAGTTAAAGTATAAGTTTATATTTCGAAATATATAGATAAAATGTTGATTGAAGCCAATTCAAGTTACACCAATGACTCTAATTTACTTTAAAACGTAAGTCGACACTGGTTTCCGAAAAATTATGCAAAAAGCCGCAGCAGAGAATCTACCAATGTCCACATTTTTTTTTTTCCATTCATGCAATACACATAACAAAAACAAAAATTTAGCTAATCTGCATTCGTCATCGTTATCATTCTTTGCTTTGTCCTTCCTCCCTCCCTTCCCCTGCCGATTATCAAAGTGTTTTACGTTGTAAGTCGTTAATCATCTTGCAATCCCTCGCTTGTTCTTCGCTTATTCTCTCCTCCCTCTCGCGTATGCCAAATTCTGGGCTCACCCGTTCGTTCCGTTTTCTCCGTACTTTACCCCTCTCCACCATCACACACTAATAGAAACTACTATTTTTATCACTGTAACAACAAGATCATTGCAATGATCGCCGTATTAAAATAAATTTCAATCAAACGTTTTTACACGTTCAACAACTTTCTATCCGTGAACACAGGTTCATCGCCCACTAGTCCACTAGCTAACTGCTGCTTCATAAAACATCGGCGCAATATCTCAATCATTCTCGAGAAGTAGTACACACGCGTATAAGCAAAAACGTGCAACGAATACCCACGTGCCAATCTGGGTGGAGTTTTAAGCGAGCTTGCATAATTATTGTTTCGTCTTCCGTCACATTTAGACAAAAGAACGTCATGTCATACCGCCACAACTTTGTCTAATGGAGCGATCAGCGTGATTTAATTAGTATTTACTAATAAGTCTTTGGTTTTCCCCCTAGTACACTTCTTTCCAAGTGCGTGTCATTTCCAAGCGTTTTATATTGCTATTGATATACGAGGCATGTCGAGTACATGAAAACATAATACAAACGCAATTAAAACTAGAAAAAAAAAGAAAGGAAGATTTATTTAAAAAAAAATGAATAATAAAAACATTTTCAATACATTCATACACACATTTAGTTGTTTTGCAACGTAACGTTATTCAATAAATTTTGGTTTTCTTCTAATTGCGTTCATATATTTATTTTCGAGACACGTCTCATATACATATGTACACAATATAAAAATTTCCTTATTCGTCATAATTTCCTTTAATTTCATCACTCTCCCCTTATCGATATACTTTGAAAAAGAGAAAGTTTATCGGCCCCGAGAGTGCGACACATTTGTGCGAAAATGCATCACCCTGGCACGCACATCTCTTTGGCGTGCAGTTACACACGAAAGTGTGCGTATAATCGTGATTTTGATTGAAATACATCATGATTTGTGGGCAACGAAATAAATGCGAATCGCGAGGGCAACAGAAAATATTCAATGCAACATTTTCAGATTTTCCCGAAGGTCAAACAAAATTCAAAAACAACTCAAACTGAAATAGAACAATCGAGAAGTTTGAAAGTGTCGGAGAGAACGTCGCGAAAATTGTAAGATAAAAATGGATACTATCGCGTCTCACCGACAGATGGAAATTATGTGAACATCAATATGCTCGTTACACTGCAAACTACCCTGTCAATTGTACTTCTACAAGTAAATTCGCTTCACATAGTTCAAAAATTCGTATACTTACATCTCTATAACAAAACATAAAAATCGGAGTTGAGAAAAAAAATTATCTTGAGCAGGAACGCTATTACTAGAAACAATGCTTCAAATATAGTCTCGATGCCGCTTTGTAGATTTTCAGATACCTCTATTCAGCTAACTAACGATTACTTCTCCGGCATAACACGAAGAGCGAATATACTTTTGTACTTGTGCGATTATTTTTTTAATAACATGCTTATATAACTGTCAGACTTGTTTCTCTTAAGGCAGAGTGATGCTCGGCTAGCACTTTGGCACTCGTTTTCGATTACTCAAATCCCCTTTACGTTTTTGTACACGTCGCCGATTGCGCGTGTATATATCTAGTAGTCCGTAAACGCGAAAGGGACTTCTCTTTTCGTAATTTATTTATAATAAAGTTCAGGTAACTCGGCGTATCTCCGCGGTAAGACAACCCGATATCCGGTGAAGCCTCTCGAAAGCTCTCTCAAAGGATTGCTATACCGATGTCATCAATAAGAGACGGATCCAAGAAGGACGCGCTTAAGTATTGAGCGATCAATCGATTGTTAGAGATCATTCTCTGATTATTACACTCTAGAAATAGCGTTCCGTGTATTTTGCATAAAATAGTCTGAGCATTTTCGCGTCTATCACACTTGCGATGTTGAAATTCAGTTATCTATTTTTTCACACACTCATCATCGATATGTGCTGCTTTCATCCTAGGTGCGTTAAAGGTTCGCCTAGAATATTATCTTAATCATTTGAGCGTGACGAGTTATTGTAGGAATACACTCGAAAAGTGTCAAGCAGCGCGATCTTGCTTCTCCTGTTTCACGATGAAAAATGTCAAACCACGCGATCGCGCTTCTCCTGTTTCATATCAAAAAATGCGAAGGAGCGTGATCGACATTACAAAAGTTCCGATTCGCCTTTCGAAGCCTTTTGAAATGCTGCGATAAAGTCCATCAGTTCATTTTAGCGTGATGGTGTAGTTTTCGAAAGAATAACGAGAATACATCGCGCTGCATGGCATTCAAATCAGAAAATGTCAAATTAGAAAGTTCTACTCGAAATCTAATTAAAAATTAAAAGTTTAACATTAGTCTAAAAACTTGAATCGACACGATAAAGCACAAATTTTCAAAGTAACGACAGGATATAACCAGCAAAATCAGCCAAAGGAGGTGCCAAAATGTTTTTTCACCTCTTCGTTGAAAATAAATCGCACATTGTAATGGTATTCGTGAAAATGCTCACGTGTGTTTTTCCCTATTTTCAAAATCAGGATCGTAAAAGTACGGAAGCTCTACTGTATAAAAATCCATTGGCCGGCTCTCGCGCGTTGCCATCATTTTGGTACCGGTATCAGGCGAACGTGAGGAACGCCGAGTGCCGAGCGACGAGCTTAATCTAAAAAGTAAATTTTTTTTTCTTCTTTTCCTTTTTTTTTAATTTTTATGGAAAGAGTTTCCTCTTTTTTTTTCTTTTTTCTTTTCTTTTTATAGATACCGAAAGGGTGTCCCACTAATGCGTTCCTTACTCGCAGCTGACGGCGCTAGCCTCGTTCATAGCGTATGTTGCTTCCCGTCGGGCAACGGCAAGTTCCACAAGCATGCTGAAATTGTCTCCACTGTCTTGGTGAATGTAGGCGTTCTTGAGACTCCGTAATGGCAGACCGCGATTGAGAATCTCGATTTGTTGCTGTTGCTGAACTCCAGGTACCGTCAGCAAGTGCTCCCGTGGAGCGCTCCAGTATGCTGCGGGCTCGCCGGACGAAATATCGGGAGAACTATCCGAATTGTCGTTACTCCTAAAAATAAGAAATGGCACGTCCAATTTGTTATCCAGTTTTTCCTACCAGCGACATGGTGTTTATTAGCTGTGCATAAAATTCGACAACGATCCTCCGAGAGAAATCGAAAACACACATCAGAGAATAACAATTCTTTTCAACATCTTACTTTTCGAATTACTTTTTAATTATTATCGTCGAGGCATTTGGAAAATATCGACAGTTGCTACTCTTCTCTCGTTTGATATAATTATTGTAGATTACTGAACTTACCCGCGTCGGAGGGGATTGGACATAGCGTTGTCGTCTAACTGCTTAACTTGAGGCTCCGCGTAGGGACGAACGATTACATTGGGCCACTGTGTCAAAGGGTGTTCCTCCTCACTGTGGTAACCATTCGGACTGCTTGCGTAATCATTTGTAATCGGACTGTCTTCATTTCTGCGGAAAGATAAACCTTGCTTCCAGTATTTTTATATACTTTATTTATACGTTTTTAATTTCACAATACCGAAGACACAGCCAGATCTCGCCGGAATGGAATTGTACAAACGGAGATAAGCGCGAACAAGTCAACACACGATAAAATCAAAATCCAATGAATAGCCGAAGACTTTTCGCTCCACAAAATTATATTTAAAAGGAATAGTTCAATATTCAAAGAAACTTGATCGAAGATAAAGAAAATTTCTAAAATACCTTCCAGACATCCGTCATCGTTTTGTCGAGTGTGTTTAAATTGAAATTATCACATCGTGGAAATTTAATGTGTAGAACAATAATAAAATCTTACAAATAAACTTTCCATGTTCTTTTATCAATTTAGTTCCGAAACTTTTTAGCTAAATGTGTAAATCGGCGCAATTTTTTCCGATGAGAATACAGTGGAAAAAAAAAGAGTACTAACCGATACACCGGTTCCTCATCGTAGTCACGATCCTTCTCATTCTCCTGCGTTGTTGATGCAGCCTCATTGATATCTTCGACGTGCGAGTCCCAATTCTGCTCCGGCCTCGGTGGACTGTCGCCATCAGTCTCCATCAGTTCAGAGGAAGTCTTGCGACCTGGTCGAGAACCAGTCGCGTGTACGCGACGGGCGCGGCGCGATATCGTGTACATATGAGGATCCTTGCCGTCCTTGCGAATCAGTTCAGGCAAAATGCGCCGTCTGGCGTTTATAAACCAGTTACACACCTGCAACAATTCGATATCGGTAATGTTGTTAGCAAATTGATTTAACAAAGAATCAGTTTGAATGACAACATTAATTCTTCCGTTCTGAAATTTAGACTGCAATGCTAAGAAATTTTATTCGTATTACGTCCTCGTAATGAAACTACCGTAATATTTACTTTTTATTAAACAAAAATAAACAGAAATAGAATACCTGGAGATTCGAAAGTTGTGTTTGTACACTAAGAGACTCCTTCTCGGTCTCGCTAGGATATGCATTGTATCTGTGCTCCATGAGCCAGCCTTTCAGTATCGAAACTGCCTCTTTCGGTAGATTGCCACGTCGTTTCCTGCGCGTGTTAGAATCTTGATTGGACACGGCATGACGATTGACGCGATGGGTCGTCGACGTGTCCGACGATGTGTTTTCCGTCTCTGACGATCCGCTGTGATCGTCGTCCGTACTAGACATCGGTGCGCGGTCCGTCGGCGGCGCAGAGGCATGACGTCGGTAATAAGATCCTGAAACAATAGTTCATTGACATCATCACGCAATTGCATCATTGTAAACTAATTTGTGATTCATTCTAATCATTCGATATTACAGTCATTTATTCGTTCACTTATAAACGATTTCTTTTAACACTTTTTTATGTGAAAATTATGCAATAGGAAGATTCATTAGCGACGACTTGATTGTGCGATTTTTTTATTGAGCTTAAAAAATCGTAAAAAAAAAGCTGCATGAAAATCAATAAAAAATGTAGACTGAAGAAATATAGACACGCTATATATCCTATTTTTTTAGAACAAGACCACTGAAGAAAAGAATACATATTGTAAAGCCAGCAAATGTGTGAGAAATGTGAGATTATATTTCATAATTCGAAAGCTTCGGTCATGAAATTCGATTTTGTATTTCTTGCCAAGTGTCTTTTATTAAAAAATAATAATATGATAAGGATGCACCTCGATACATTTATATTCATGAATTTTTTTTCATTACTGCGCGTTCAAAAGTATAAATCTCATGTTAAGAATGTCATAAATAAAAAAACGTTGCTTGATGACGGATCGAGTCTAAAGGTTGATTGAACTTTTTTGAGAATCAAATTAATATAGTGAGAACTACAATTCGATAATGATACTTGACACGTGCACTTGTGTGCCGAAATTACTAGCACTCGGCATCGATTCCGCAGAGAGGGAGCCTTTTTTTCTCTCCTTCCTCCTTTCGCTATCAAGAGACACGACCGAACAAACTGTGACGCGACTCTTCGCGAGCGGAGGTTGTTTGAGCAGCTAAACAAATACAAGGAGCACGATATGCCCGTAGTTGCACGCAACTCTCGATAGATCGCCCTTCGTCGCCGGCTTTCCCAGCAATCTCGCGCGGGAGAGAGGAGCAATGTGAACGATAACATGTCAATTATAAAACATGCCTCGAAGCGATTAATGGAGAAAGTTTCATCGTTGCGCGACACTTTTCCGCGCGTCCAAACCAAGACAAATGAGATATCTTTTTCTCATCAAAGCCACGCATGTGTACACATGGATGTCTGAATTATGCAATTCAAGGTTGCTCAGATGGTTTATAAATAGTAAAGTAATTGTAAAGTAATGAATTCCAATGGGAGAGAAAGTTGGCCAGCTGCAACCAATTACGAAATTATCGACAGCAATTTTTAGATAAGATTTCCTTTTCCTTTCTCGGAAAGATCCCTACCAAAGTTTATCAGACTGGCTCGTTTACTTTTCACAAATTGTCTTAGAGATTTTACAGTCGAAAACGTGACACAATAATACATTGCATATCACAATACTACAGAGATAAAGAAATATGCTTCAAAGAAACTTCTGGCGCCAAGATTCTAAAAACGAAACTTCAGAATATGGAAGAAGACGAGACGTATTGCTGAATTAGATAAAATTCTATTCAATTCTTACTATTCTTTTGTGTGATAATTAAACGACAGCCATGAACTGATAAGAATGTATCAAAACTACTGATCTAAATTCTGCAATTAAATAAGAGTATTTTTTTGCTTTTATGATGATTTATCAATATTGAAAATATTCAATTTTTTTTTGTTTTTTAAAGAAATTTCATATTTCTACTTTCTTCTTGTCTTTGCCTTGCAAAAAAAATCAGTCTTTCTGTAGTCCTTTAAATAATGAAGGCGGAAATAAAAAACTGTTGTAAATAATGAGCAAAACTTAATTAATGTTTTTTTCCGGAAGAAACGAGATAATAATGTCATTGTGTACAACGTATAAAGATTTTTTTGCAAACATTTGTATATTCAATGATAAAAAGATAATTAATACTTGGAGAAAGATCTTCCGGAAAAATAAATATAAAAATATAACAAAATAAATGCATTTATATTTATGCATCATAAGAGCAAAAAAAAATATGCTTATTCAGAGAAATTGGACGATTATATAATTTAATATCTCTCAGCACACAACGAAATGAATAAAATAAAAGAGCTAGATATTTTCTGGCAAGTAAAAGCAACATCGATAATTATACAAATGATGTTATACAATGTCGCGCAACATTGCGAGAGTCCCGTATCGGAATTTTACTACAATCTACATCGCGTCAGGTCACACAGTCACGAATTGCGTGGTAAATATTAATATCAGAATGTTGCATAATTTAGCGATATCTGTAAAGGGTCAGGAAAAAAATATGTGAGGGTCATCCTATATTACTATAATAACATCCGAGATAAACAGTCACAGTTCTACGGAGCCTCGCTGTACGAAGTGTACAGTTTATAATCAGACATTTGCCGATATGTGCTGTAGAAAGAACGCAATATAAGTATTTATATAGATAGTAATTTATAAAAAAAAAAAAAAAAAAAAAAAAAAAAAAAAAAAAAATAAACCGCGTGACACTTTCCACAAAAATTTCAAAAAGAAAAATGTGTGCATTTGTCGCAAGATGTAAATGTGCATATATGCGTAAAGTATTATTCGTTGCAGAAATCGTATTTCTTGTGTCGCACGAATGTACGCGTCGAAAGACACCGTGCGCTCACCACCGCACGCGCGCGTCCATAAATCGTATGGAAATAAAACTCTAAGGTCGGTTTCCCTTTCCACACGATGTGGTCTCTCGCGAGCGCGAGGCAGTCGCGCGCTTGTTATTTAAATGGTTACGTAAAACATGCGCGTAGTGCGGAGAGGTCGGCCGAAAGCGACGTAAACGTCAAAACGTAAAAAGACGCACAGCAGAGAGAAACGGCCGAGTTGTCATACGTCGAGGCCGATACACAGCAGCGGCGGACATCGCGCGATAAAATCACGCTTCTCCCCTCGCTGAATTTACACCGTTTAAAATTCACTTTCGTCCATGAAATTAAACAGGAAGGTCAATGCAGACGTGGATAAATTATATGTCATTGCGGAAACTATAGTATTTCCTCCATCTTGTTAATTAACAAGCCAAATGAGACATAAGTAAAAATGCCCAAATGTTGTCTTAACTTTTATAATATAACAACGAAAAAAAGAACACGTATATATAGTTTCCTAATTTTTTTTAATGAATAATGTAATCAGTATGACACAAACACGGAATTCAAAGCTTATTTATCGATAATTTTCGAAATAACAGCCGTCTGTAATAACGCGATGAATTTTTGTCATTCGATCTTTAGAATTGTAGAGATTTATTAATTAATTTTTATAATTACATAGGTTTAATTTAAGGCACTGTACCGAAATATTCGATACAAAAGAGTAAAAGTTTGTAGAAATGTTTTTCATTACGACATATCGCCGATTGAAATCGCCGTAACGTGCTTTGCTAATTGTAAGTGATGGTTGAGGCTCATTCAAAAAGACATCCTAATTAAAAGTTGAATCATGAGCGACGCGCAAACCGCCTTTTTCGAACGATTGCCGTACAATTAGTTTGCCAACCGCGCGACGCGACCCTGCCAAGTGTCATTACACTCTGGTATGCCGGGTGTGAGTTTAGAAGCTAGCATTTCGTGTCGTTGTAAATTTAGCGAGAACCTCATAGAGTTGACCGTCGCGCGCGAAAATGCGGTGTCTAAAAAAACAATTCAAGAGCTAAGAATCGAATGTGGGCTTCGAGCTTCAACATACCGATCTTGTTCCTACATCTGCAATATATTTTGTCCTAGAATGACACGATCTTTGCCTATCCTCCAAGCACGTCACTCTAGGACGATACATCATACCTTGTCGACAAAGCGGCGCACTTTAGCAGACAGTCACACACCTAGGTAACGCTAGGAAGACTCGTCGTCTCAAAATAATCTAAGTGTTCCGCGCTGGTTCCATATTTAGTTCGAGTATCGCGGACTGATTCGTTCAAGTTAAAGAGAGATCGAAGATTGGAGAGAACGCGTGTAAAAGACAAAGACAGTAAGACAGACATAGAGAGACAGAGGGGCCAAAAAAAGCAAGTGAAGGAACGTGATTTACTAGTTCGAAGCAGATCTCGTTAGAACGAAAAGATATTACAATGCTCAGATATAAACTTCAATATGATATAGTTGGAGTGAAAGAATAACGACTTGGATGATTAAAAGGTATAAAATTATATTTATCAGGATCCATCAAAATAGTTTCAAGATTGTTTAAAAATATAAATGCATAAATATATATTCTCGTTGAAAAGTATGGAAAGACTGGGATAAGCTGATTAAGAGTTCATATTAAGAGAGTTAGTAGATGAAAGTGAGAGAAAGAGAGGGAGGACGCGAGAATAATAAGCATATATGTATAAGCAGATGCATATTCATCACAAGCGCGACCTAGAATGTAAATTTGGGATATTATTTTAAAAAGTCAGTTTTAAATCATAATTAAGAGAAAAAATGGTATAAAAAGCCCTTTGAAATATTGAAAACAGAAATATCATCCCCTTCAAATAATTGGCATTAAATGAATAATTCGCGCATTCGAGTTTTCAGATATAAACGGTAATTATCGAGCTATCGATAGCTCAATTAGCAAGATATGCGTTAAAAAAAAAATACGAAAGAGACATGTTACTCTAAAAATTTAACATTTCGAAGATGTTTTTCCTATATTTCGCGATGTAATTCTGGATTTTAACGTAGTCGAAAGTGGATGAATCAATACTAGATAAATTAGGAAACAAGGATCCTTTTTTCACGAGATGCATGTGCATTTTGTGCGAGAGAATAGTGGCGTCTCCGGAAACGGAATCCACCGCTACAGTGTCTACCACAGACTGACTAAACTTAGCGCTCGACGACGAGTTTTGCAGTTACGTAAGGTCCAGTAACCCGACGATGTAAAATTAGGATAGCTCTCCTCCCTCTCGCACTTAGTAGGCGACAACCCCGTCATCTTACAGTGCGGTGCACCTCTCGTGGTTCATCCGTCACATTTCTCTCTTTCTGTCATTCTTGCATCACTCATTTGCTCTTTTTTATCATCGCCAATATTTATCATCGTTCATACTTTTGAAATCTAACTTTCGGGCAAATTTTATAAGTTACGTTCGTTAAATATCCCGTCATTTTCGTAGTAATGATAATAATGATTAAATTTTGAATAGCAGAAAAATGTGGAAAAAATGTTTGTATAATTTCACGCAAAGACGTTGTTTTAAAGCATTGATAAAATATAAGTATATTGAGGATAAATGTGGTAAATGGAATTTTGCTTATGATAATTAATGTATCATTTAATAGATTTGCGCCAAGAAAACGTAAGTTGCGGGACTGACATGAGTTATGATATACGTGAAGTTTTCGCAACAAGCCGAAATATTTTCATCGCAATTTTTAGTAAATTAACTATTAGGTATATGTGTGCCTAGTGAAAAATTCTCAAAAGTTAAGATTCGTTACACAACTGTACGTATAACGCACGTGTAATGTGATTATTTATTCAAGCGCGAGCTGACGTGTGTGCATTTTCTAAGCGGAAAGTTATCGTTCCCGTTGTTAGTCGCAGTATAGTTAGGTATTAAGTGTATACGTATAATAATTTTGCGAGAAATAAATAAACAACAAAGTTTAATTTTTAGCACAATTTTCTTTTTCCTCGACAACTTCGTTCTATCGTTTCAATTGATCTTTATTCGATAACAAAAAAATTAATTTTAAAAACTTTCTTAAAAACTTCTGAATTGGCCTGATATGATGCTGCGAATGTTAGTGCAGTCGCGCAATCAAAGACGTATTTTGTGATTAACGAAGCTTCGCATGGTGTCCGCCGTTATCCGCTGTGTCACGCTTACGCAATGTACGTGTGTAAAATGCCGCGATACGACATAGCGAAACAATGTAAGTTTAATAATGTTGACTATATTCCTGTCCATTTCTCGCGCACTTTCAATGCAATGTTGCAATAATCAAAGATCATCATATTCACGGACTCGGTATTTCTGTTTAATAACTATTGATTTATTATTTTATCCTACTGATTCCTATTTTCTATTTGTATTTCGTCTTGAAAAATTTAAATCTCTTTTTAAGATCTGCCAACGACAGAGCAGAAAGTGAGAAAAAGGTAATTTGCCAAAAATACCATTAATATCTGCTAATAAATGTTCAGTTATTAATTAATTATTTATCATTTCAAATTTTACTTGAATATTATGTTTTCTTATTTATTGGGTTGTGTAATAAATAATTTCCGGCGTTTCCGGAATGAATCTGTTTATTTTTTTGTCTGGTAAAGTGCAATTTGATTGACATGTAAATATTGGTTTATCGAAGTTGTAACCAAGCTTCGCTTGCATTACAATTTCTTGATGCTGCGTAAAAAACAATAAGAAAATCCGAAATTACACAGCCCAATATTAAAGATTTATATTTATTTTTTATCTCAGAAGGAAGTGACATAAGATAATGCTTCCTTGAACTTTTTCCTTTCGAATTGTGAAAACACTCTTCACTTTTGTACTTTGAACATGTGAACTGATCGGATTTTATCATCGCTACGAGTTACTCTTTTTCACGACAATCGTATAACATTAAATCGCATAACATTAAAAGCTCAAAATTGCCATTTGCTGTTTGAGTCTTAATTGAACCAGTGAGATAAACAATTGATAGCTTCGACAGTGCGATCAAGATTATCAACAGAATGCATTGTATATGAATTCATCGAGTTGACGTCGTATTCAATGCAAAGTATGCCGACCATGCATGTGCAAGCAGATGTCACGAAGGTGATTGCTAGCTCTATTCGCATTTGATAAATAAATATTCACGTATAAATACCGACGCATTAGTTTGTTATTTACCTTCGAGTTTAAACTTATAAATAAAAAATACAAGTAATAAACAAACGTGAAAAATTATAATAGAAATTAGATATTAATTTAAATATAGAGCATCATGCAATAATATTTTCTGTTTCCAACTCATTTTTTTAAATGTAATTTTGTAATCAGATTAATGTAAAATTGCAGAAGAATTACGCAAGAAAAATGTACGGAAAAAGCACAAAACACGTGCGAAATATTTATTGTGCCATGCGAAAGTGTTTCATTTCACATTTAGACATAGTGTTCAATATCTATAAAATTATTTCTTATCTAGCCGCTAATTGTCTTTTTATATTTTTGAACAATCTCTAAAGCCACATGTTTAAGAAACGTGTTCATGTTGCGTTATTCATTTTGTCAATACAAAAAAATTCAAAGAAATGTGTAAAAGGACAAGTCCAGTTTTTAACAAAAAACCGAAATATCGAAACTTTATTTTATAACACGGCTTTTCTTTTCGTACGTCGAAACATATCACGTTTGCCCGCGCTGCAAACACGTGGTTGACTCGTAACGACAGCTACGGGGTTCACTCGCACGGAAAAGCATCGGCGTCCCGCCGAAGCGACAAAGTCGTCACATGCCTTCGTGACCACGTGCTTTCTCTTGCGCTGTCGCAGTTGTCACGTCGACGCACGCAATCCGTTGACAAGCGCATATTTTCGATAGCAATCGACGAAACGAATCATACGAAATGACATTTCGGACAAATTCGCCGATATTTTTAATATTTTTATGCGCGGCGGCTATAGAAATAGTATGCAGCGGAAACACGTCAAGCATCACGTGCAACGTGTACCGATCTGTATGCGTGACTTACGCAACGCTGTATAGAGTGAATAGTATTATTTTAACTGTCTAATTTGCGACCTACTTTCTCAATATTTCTCACAATAAATAAAATAAAAATGCAATAAATATGCTCAATTTGCTGTTTCTATATTAAGTATAGCATGTTTTAAATTAATAATGAGAAATCTTATAAGTTGATTATAAATATAAAATTTTACTCGTTTTTAGTATTTTTTTGTTTAATATGAAATAGACATATTAAATATATAGCATCTGTAATTTAAGGATTAACAGCCTTCGAAAAAATTGATATAAATGCATTATCAGGTACACCTATTTTTTATTAAATATGATTAATTATCGAATTCTATAAATCAACGTAAAATTTAGATAAATAATAATAAAAATAATTAATATTATAAATTTAAAACAAATTTTTTTCTAGAAACTATAAGAGAAATGCATTCTGGTGTTGAAATTCATGCACTCATTAAACTACTTGTCAGATTCTAAACAAATGCAAAACTTTTTTCTATCTTTTAAAGTTAAAGAAAAATGGTGCGACTGCTGTTGCATCATGAATAATGAGTTTTCTTTAAGGTGTGGGTTCAGATTTGAAAAGAAAAACGAGTTTAACGATAAAGGACCCCGTACCTGCGGGTGCGTGTGTGCTGATCTCCGCGTACACGCGCACACACACACACCACGCGCGCGCGCGCGCGCGCACGCGCACGCACTTTTGATCACCACCTAAATTAAAACACATTTCAATTTCAGCCAATTTGACCGAAGCCACTTTTTTCACATAAAATGTGCGGGGTACTTTAACGATCACTTAATTCTGCAAAATCTATTAAATTTAATAGCGACTATTGAAAAAATAGATGGAAATAATGTAATTGCAAATAAAATATAACATGTATCAATTGCAAACTAAGAAAAGTTTAAAAATTTAGCTGTCAATATTCATTCGTTCAATCTCAAATTCTCCAAACTCTTCTGAAAATTCATTGATAATTGATATGTAACAGCAACACGATGTAAAAACACATGTGATTAGGTGAAAGGTGTAACAAAATCCGCTTCGTCGTTACGTACGATTCATTGACGCACCACGTGTTTAGCCGTGTGTGTGACCGTGACTCGCACAATAATTACGCTGCAATCGCGTAGCATCTCACGGAGCATCTCGTAATTACCGTCGTCGTAATATAATCCGCGCGTGCTGGCCATTCATAAAAATAAAGTGCGCCCACGTGCCCGCTTCCCATTAAATTCACGAATGCATTCTGCCTGCCGCAACCCTTCCCATTTCTAAAATCTATCGCCAATCTATTTCTTTCGGTCTGACCAAATAACTAGTCAAACTAATAAACAAATAAATTCATAAAACTTTCTCTTCCACGGAAAATATTTATTGCGCATCTGCATGTAAAAGTACACGTGTGTCTTTACACCTGACCTTTATTTTACAATATGTCTGCGACCGCATTGCTACGAGCTGCCGAACGGTGTCAAAGCCCGTCGTAAATCACTCAGGTAAAATTTTACTCTAGTCACCTTAACAATGGTTTCTACAATGGCTTTATAATAGTTACGAAAAATTTTACCGTTTTTTTTTAGCTTTCTCAACGAATATATGAACAGAAAGAAACTTGACAATCAGTACTTTTATGTTTATTCAAACAAAATAAACCATTACATATAATGATAAATGACTTTCACAAAAAATTTTACGAAGTTTCAAAATTGAAAAAAATCCCATGTTATTCTAAGTTTAAATAAAAGAAAAGATAAATAAGCAGCTGTAAGCAAAATTCTATACCTGATCTGTCTCCAGTTCTATTCTCTAAGTGCATTGTGGTCGGAGGAAGCATTCTTTTGAATTTATGCTACTTTCCAGATTCAAAAAATTCAACCTTGACTTGGAGTAAAGCCTCTTTCTTTGGATTCTTGATATAAATACCGTCACAACTATTTTTTACTAATGTTCACTACCAAACGCACACTTTCTTTTTTTCTTTTTTCTCTTCGAAAGAAGAATGTTTTCACTGACGTCTCGCCGTAATTATCGCGTTCGTCAAAACCGATTCGATACGTTCCTTTTCCACGCTTATTGCATAAGCAAGCAATTTCCGTGATAATCTTTGACGAATCCTTCTATCGCTCAGAATATTTCAACGACGATACTTTCCTCAGCATCAATTTCTAACTCCAAATATATCAGTCTGACAGAAATGACGATTCGAGAGCGTGTAAAGAGAAGCTGAGCAAGAATTCAGAATTTTTCCTCGCGCTGCTTCGCGTCTCATCCGTTATTTTCACGAATTTTCTTTTACAGACTGCAACAGCTGTGCCGCTTGCGCGCGGCCACTCGGAAGCGCGACGCACGCATTGCTCGGGAACCGGTTCGGCGAAAGCTCGAGTGCTCAATGCGTATCGCGAGGAGGCGATCGTTGTAGTTGGAAGGATCACGCGGCAATGACATCCACGGCGATGTGATCGCCGGTTTGCTGCCTCGGTTGCGCGGCTGCATTTGAAGTGAGAATAGTCGCAAGCACGTGATCGTTCGTCGTTTCTGCCGGCACTAGACACGATGCATCCGAGTTTCCACTGAGAAAGAGAGAGAGAGAGAGAAAGTCGCGCGCACTGAATGCTCCGGAGGATCGCAGAGGTAAAAAAAATGATTATACGAATATCATATCGATCCCTGCACTCACAAACGACAAATGTACAACGTATCGCACGAACAGCACGCGTGCGACTGCTCGCTATATTCTATAAGATACGACTTGACTTCACCTCTTCCCCCCTCCCTTTCCACTCCTATACAATCAGATGGTGGGAGTATTGCGAGAGGGATACGAAACACAGATGCACAAGGCTGTTCGTTTGGTATACCGACCGTATATATGTATAGAGCGTCTTTCGTTGGCGGGAAAAATTTTGCAGCCCTTACAGTTTTTCAACCAACAAGAAAGTCACTGTGCTAATCGACGGAACAGTTTTTCCGCCACTATGCGATAAAGAATGCGTTCAAGAATATCCATTTTCTCATTTTCAATGAAAATGTCTCAAATATATCTCGAACTGATTATACAATATCTGTAATAGAGTATACTTTAAACGGAAATGAAATTCCAGAAACGTTTTAAAATGTAATTTTTAATTTCAATCAAACCTTATTTTTTAACGTGCATTATTCAAACTTTTTTTATTCAGTAATCAAAAATACACGCATGCAAATGCATAGCTAGGTGCAAAAAAATTATGCTTTCCTAAAACTTAATAATGTTATAATAAAAATCTTTGTTAAGATTAGCCTTCATTCAAGAATATTACTACATGGACCTAGAAATATATGGACAGAGCAATAGCCAGCGGGGTTAAAGTCAGAGACAAAAATCGACCAAGATGGCTACGGATGACGCGTGCCACGAGCGCGGAATTTGTAATATATGAATATTATTCATTACGCAAGCGCCAAACTAAGATTTGGTTAATAATACCGCCATTTTTCTAATCGACCAATATGCCGGCTGCATGATTTCTCCTTGCCACTCATGCCTCACCTTCTTATAAGATCAATTATCGCTTTGCGCTGATGTAGTGGACTGATGTAGTGGACCTACACGTCGCCATTCCTAGGTCGACGTGTAGGTCCACTACATCAGCGCACGGACTTACAATTAGTTGCACATTTCGGGCCGATTTCCGAGACAACGCCTCCTGTTCTCCCATTGCCGCCCGGCCGTAGTGCAACTAATTCCGAGCACTGTGCTACATAATGGCGAATCGGTAGAAACATTAGTTTTTGAAAATCAACCGAAATGTGCAGATCGTATCTAGCACTGAGTTATATAATTAATTAGTCATATTATTTAAAATAGGCGTTCTGTACCAGGGTATATTGATACTTTTCAAATATATTACGGCAAAAAATCAGATACACTCCTACAAGCCAACGTTACTAATTCCCGTCCTGAATTTCCACACACAATCGAGGCCATGTTTCGGCCATGTTCATGTGCTGCGCAGGCGTTTAACGGAGATAAATCTTTTGTTGATATATCAGATCAAATAACAGCAGCCCATTAAAATGCATATTCTTAAACTATCGTATAATGGCAAGAAAACTATATATATAATCGGCTGCAAAGTTTTCTCGCCAATAAGAAGACGAACGAGATGCCGCAACATGGCCGAAACATGGCCGCCGCAGAAATTCTAAAAAATTTTTTCATGTATAAAAATGTTCGACAATTTGGTAGCCAACGAACAAGAAATTGTACTGTGAAAGTAATAACATTTCCTGATTATTGTCCCGATAAACCTCATTTTTCTTTATCCTGTTTTAACTAAATATCATTATACTTTTGCACGCCACTGTAAGTTTCTTTAATTATATATGATTTAAATAAGAGTATATATTTCGTTTTTATTACTCCCCATGTGGGAATTTCGAGTCTTGACCCAATTCTATCATCCCAGTATTTCTCTAGTATCACATTAGTACTGGCATCTAGTAATGCCAGACTTAGTACGCGCCAATCCAGAAATCCAGAAATTGATACTGAATTATTATCTTGCCGATATCTTATTATTTTTTTTCCTAATTATTTTTGCAGTCTTATAAATACTATAAGTCATATATTATAAACATAAATAATTAATGCAACAACGTGACATAACTGAATGCCATTTTGACCACGTTGCAAATAATCTGTGCAATTGACACAATATTCAATGTGTGTAATAAATCAGATATTTTAACAATAAATAGAGGTATAAAATTTTTGATACATTTTTTAATAATCTCAAATAAAGATAGAGATTTAAGAGATATATTGATAAGCATGTCAAGTTTTATACAATTACATACCATAACCACGTGTAAAATAAAAAAATTAGTATTTCTTATATAAATTAAGAAAATTAATATATTTTAATATATTAATAATTTTAATTTTTTAAATTAGATTCATTTTAATAACAAAAATGGCATGTTATCCCTGATATATCTCAATAACTATTTTTAATAGAAAATAAAAATTTCACTCACTTGTATTCATGGTAATTAATAACAACGCGATCGTGATAAAATTAGCACTGATCCACTTGAAACTACTTTTTATAATCACAAAATTTCAAATAACAAAACTAGTACCAATCTGGTTTTCGAATTTCTATCACTTGATGTTTCTCACACGAAGAGCTACAAGCGACTAACAAAGTATGGCTGTGCCGAAAAGTATGGTACGGGGTATCACCCATGTTAGAACGTTAGGGTGGGGAGTTAAACCTTTCCCTTCCAAGTTAAAATCAATTTTGCTGAATCCATTTCAAAAATCTTGGTAAAAAATGCATTAAAGCGGGTCAAAACTCTCCCCCCCCCCTACCTCTGCCACCCCATTATCAGGATCCGCTAGTGAAGAGGTATTCACGGCATAACCTAGCTTTGCATTTGGTGGGACCAAGAGAATGTGCTGTATTACGAGCTCTTGCATTCAAATAAAACCGTTATAGTAGCTGATCGCTACCAACAGCAATTATGTCGGTAGAGTGACGAGTTGATGCAAAAAAGACCATTCGTAGCCAATGATCGACGCAAAGTCATTCTTTTGCATGATAACGCTCGACCGCACGATGCTCGATGCTCGATGCAAACAGTTACAAAGTTGCGATCACCAGTCGATCAGGGTTACTTTCCCATAAAAAGTCCAAAAATGGATGAATGAATGGATCGCCTCGAAAGACACCGCGTGGTTTACCGTCGTGGAATTGCCCTGTTGCCGGAGATCGGACAAAGTAGTAGAAAATGGAGAAAATTACTTTGATTAAGGCAGAGCTCGGAATTATTTAATTTTTTCGGCCGATTCTCGTTGTATACTCTCGCTAGCGGCGCTAACTTTAGCGGCTGCCGCGCGCGCGGTAAGAAGAGGAAAGCGTAACCACGTGCGCGGCACTGAATTTCAATAATTAAATTCAAGTCCAATTAAAGAAGATTATCATAGTTGTTCAAAAATATTGATTGTAACATTTTTCATTTTTAGAATTAAATAATCTTCAGCAATGAGGAGATTAATTGAAGGGAATACGAAGAAAAAAGATGTAAAAATAAATGTACATGGCGTGAACGCTAATCTATGCGAAGAGACACAAAAAGTCAAGAAAAGAAGGATAACGCGTCTTCGTCGCGTTACGAAACGAGAGACGATATTATGAACATTCTACTTAAAACGCATCCCTTTTGGTGTACCATTACGAGTAACAGGCCTTGCACAAATGGTGCGCACACATCTAGTACCGTTCTTGCAAAGAGACAATCATACGCTATAACAGCAAAAATAGAACGGATGTATGAATGGCAAAGTTCTCACAAAAAAATGAATGCATCCTACGATTTCTATATTATGAAACTGTTGTCTTTTGCAAGAATCTGTCTAAAGACTTTAATTTTTTAACTGCTCATGCGAAATGCTGTGTCAAAATGTTTCTTTCAGATTATTATTTCAGAAAAATGAATAAAATATTCAAGAAAACTGCATTTTTAGTAGATGACTTCAACACCATCTTCCAAATCAATGACTCAGTTTAACTAATCTTTTATTTTTTTTCTAATGGTTATAATAGATGAACAATCTACTATTTCGTATTTGCATTTCTCCCGTGTGGAAAACTGTCTCACCAAACTGAGACATGAGCTAATGACTAGCGATTCTAGGCTATAATGAATATTTAGCTCGTAGTTACTTGCCAGATTTTTGGATAAACGTCATATTTCAAATATCACTGGCTTAGCCAGTGATTATATACACTACCGCTCATTAATTTCAATACACCTCAGATTTGTTGATTTCTCTGTAAAGAATGAACGTGATACTTATATTTTGCACAGAAATGAGTTCACTTGCTATTAAAAACACTTTCAGCACTCACATGCATCGTATTTAAACATTATTTATATAAAAATTTTTGAAAATATAATTTTCGAAGAAACGAAATTAACAGCCGGATAATGTCAAATCCCTGGAAATAAACAAAATACGTGCGCAAGGTTACGAAGTTCTCGTAGTGATCAGATACACGCCCAATGCTGTTTTGAAACCCATTTATCAACACATACACAGTGAAAGGGCTCCGGTGTTCGCCTTGTACTGTGATATTGTGAAAACTTGTAAAAATGTGTAAAGTAGTCTCGTAAATGGCTCCCAAGAAAGAGTTATCAATCGAAAAGCGATCTGCCATAGTCGCTTTGAGAAATGCAGGACATAGTTTGCTAAAAATTGCTCGCCTGGAGAAGGTTTCTCTTGGTGGTTTGCAGAGTATCCTCAAGAGATTTGGGTGTTGAAATTAATGAGCGGCAATGTAGTTATTTGGAGTTAACCATGACATTGTATTTAACTGTATATTAACAAAAATTATATAGCCATCAGATTGCTACGGGCTACCAATCATTAGATAAAAAAACTTTAAATAAAAAAGAATTGAATGAAAAAAATTGGAAAGAAAAAGTACTCAGTATATGTACAATATACTGAAAAGTAAATATATAATATATACTGAACATTGGACACAACATATCTTCAATTATTGTTGCGCTTTTAATCACAGTACTTATTAATAAATAATTATTAATTAGTTTCATCAATGTGCACAATAAACACTTGTTACTTCACATTACAGTCACATATGGTAGTATTAACGTGAGACACTACCGTGTCTCTTGATACGTTTACATTTTAAGAGAAAGAGGAGGTGTCCCAAGCTTA